CCCCTCTAGGCTTCTGAAATATTCTCTTTGGTCTGCTGCTGTCTCAGCTTGGTCCCTTCACATCCATACAACACTCTGTTGCCAAAATAATTAATCTCTCTCACTGCACTAATCTCACCCTCCTTAAATCCCTTCACTGGCCAGGTACATCCCTGCCTGTGACTTTCACTCCTCAGCTGCAATGCCACTCATTCATCTGAAGGTTTCCTGTTTCCTCAAAAGACACCCCCCCCACTGCCCCTTACGTTTAGAACTTCCAGACATCTGTGTGAAGCAACCTCTTCCTTTCTTCAAAACATCATCAAAGACACATTTTCTGTGAGACATATAGTTTTATTCTTACAAAGCTACATTTCCCAGAGTTTCCTATGAAGAGGAATTGATTGTTAAACCACCCAAAGAACTGCAGCTCTGTGACGTGAACAGGGTTCTCCTAACAACTCACAGCATCCATAATAAACTACAATTCCCTGGATTCTTGAGGGGATGACTATTTAAAATGGTATGATACTGCTTTAAATGTATGGTGCAGATGAGACCTAATCCTATTGGGTGTTTTGTGAAAGACAACTATAATAATCTCCCTTATGTTTGTGCTTTGTTTCTTCCATGTTTGAAAGCTTTTCTCTGTATGGTATTTTCATGTTTCCATTATATCTTAAGAGATGCCTAATTCTGTGGTGCTATCTCAGATACAGGGCAAACCCAGAAGTTTGTACCATTATAGTTAAAGCACCCAATGTTAAAAAACAAAACAGGCTAATCAGTTTTGACTAGCTATTTTAACCCAACTTTTCCCTGAGGCCATAAACTGACAACACAGTACCTTTGTATCAGCATTCTTCCCTTGGATATAATGGCATTAAAAAGTGCAGGGAATCTGCAACAATGAACTTTATAGTAAATCAGTGTGATGTGCATATATTTTGCAGTTTATGATCCGACATGTACTTCCATGAACATAGTAGAGGGCTGACCCCCTTCATGCATAAATCTTAAATGGTCCACATAGATTTCACAGTAGATTTATTCTATTGTGCTGCCTAAAGCACTTAAAAGTATTCCACAACTCTCAAACATCACAGGAGATGTTTAATCAAATGTGACCAATACAAAATGGAACACATTTTCTTCTTAGTAATATTTTTCCTCTTCCTTAACTGCAGTTCTAAGAATTCTTCAAGCTCAGATGAGAGAAAGATTCAGAACTACCCAGACTTGTTTACATAATCCAGTGGTTCCAAGGTTGTTTGTATGAGCTTGTTATCTAGAATGTCACCTCTAATTTGTTTACATGGATAGGGTGTCACTGAAAATGGTGCTTGCAGTACACTGCTTTTATTCAGATCACCCCTTCTAAGACACATATTTCCATAATCAAGAACAGCAGTACTATTCACATAGATGGGACGGATTGAGAACTTGATAATGTTGAAAGTAGTGAGCAACAGGCAAAGTATTCTAGTAGGAGAGGTGAAACATAGCAGATCTCGGTAGTTATAGGAAGGCTGGGTAGATAGCTGTTGCTTAGCAAAATACAGGATAGTGATTGCTCTAAGACTGCAACACAACATTCAGCATGCTTCCAGCTATGAAAAGGGTAAATGAGACACCATCTTCTTTTAGATTAGGCAAAGTAGGATCTATGTGAGCCAGGATTAAAAATCATTGCCCGGGTGTGTGGAGAGGTGTTTTGTTCTTGAAGTGTGAAGATGCCAGTATACTGGCAAAATAAGCATGGGGGGGTTGTCATACTGCAAAGTGCTTTACATTCCCAGAATCTATACAAGCACCTGTTCAACAGCGCCATCTAGCTAAAACTTTTTCTTTGATAAATACAAGTACAGTATTACCGTATATTGTTATTAAACATTTGCATGTTGAATATGAATTAGTTCCTATTGTAATGCTATTAGAGCAGGGAAAGCAACAATTATGTGAAGTAGCTCTTTGCTTAAGGTAAGAATGTATTAAAACACCAGTTTCCATATGCTGCACACTGATGTCATTTGAAAAACAATGTTTCTAGCAATGCTAACCAACACAAAGTGAAAATATTAGAGCAGAATGTAAAGCCTAATTAGAATAAACAGCTGTCAAGGATGGCACGGTAGGTTAATTCTGTTGGTCCTATCAGAAGAAAGCTTTATTGTAGTACAGCAAAGTAAGCTGCATCTGGACATACGTTTACATTTACAAACCGAAAAATAGAAAAATAAGAAAAATAATATACTGCATTTTCTTTTCTAGTTCTATAAACTACAATGACTAGTTTTAAAACAGATTATTATTAGCATTATTAAACTTGATTCCACATTTTGAAGATAAACTACCAATCTCTAGGTGTAAAAGGAACTACAAAAATGAGAAATAAATAAACAATTTCCAGCTAATTTTTCAACTCTCCATCTTGAACTATGGCAACAGAAATCTTCCAAAATATATTCATTCTTGCTAAGAACTTAAGCGGCAAAAGCAATTATGGTCTGTCTGTCTTGCTCTCTGGCCTGGTTCACATATCACACTAAGCCAAACAATGACCTAGGGTATATGCATGGAGAGGAAATCACTGCCACTTTGCTACTGCTTGGTTGTTTTGCTGCTGCACTGTGCTAAGCTAAGCCATGGCTTGGCTTAGTGTGTCATCTGAACTTGGGCTTGTGATTTAGCTCTTTGACATAAACCATAAGTCAGAAACTAAGAACAAACCTTCATTTCAACACATTTAGTCTCTAGAGAGCTAAACCACAACCCTCAGTTCACACAACACACCAGGCCAAGCCATGGCTTAGTTAAGCACAGTGCAGCAGCAAAATGACTGGAGAAGAGCAAAACAGCCACTTTCCTCCTTGGGAGCCTAAGTGCTCATGCATTTTCACTAAGCTGTGGTTTGGATTAACATGATGTGCAAACCAGGCTGATCGCACTCTCTCTCTCTCTCTCTCTCTCTCTCTCCTCTCTCTCACACACACACTCATACACACACACACACACACACACACACACATACAGAGCTATAGAATATTAGAGTTCATAGTATAGTCTAAAATGACTTAATAGTCTAAATTACACAGAGTCTAAAAATTACTTTGCAATGCAGAGATATAGCTGAGTTCATAAGCATTTTAAATGTTGATATGATTTAAAAGTTTATGAGCTATGAAAGAGAAGCTCTTTAATTAAAGAGAATTGAACATCACTGCCTTAAAGTTTAATAAAAATAACCCATTTTAACTATGGGATAAGGCTTGCTAATTAAATACAACAGTTTTTGCATTTTCATATAAATCTATGCAGGTGCTTGGATAAAAACAGTTATGAAAAGGAATTTTGTTAGCCTTTATGTTTTGACAGGAATGATTTTGCAGCCTGCAACAACTGCATAGTCAGAATTTGTGAATTGGGAGGGCATTAAAGAGAATAGCTCATCTACTGCATTTACTTCTCTTAGGCATGCTTGCAGTTGTGGGAGGACAACCATGTTTGAGCCAATTCTACATCTGTTACGACTCACATTTAAAAATGCAACTACATACAGTACACCAAATTTGAAACAAATAACTTTCTCACATTCATAATTTTCTGTTTGAGCAGCTGAATGTAATTTTTGAAAAGTTATATCAGTTTTAAAAGCAGTTTGCTCTGCAGCATGGTGTCAGAAGTGCGTGCAGGAGCCAGGTCCTGTGACCAGTAGGGCTTCGCAGGACTGGGGCCTTCCTAAGTTTGTTCTGGAGAGGCAAGGCACGGCCGCACAGGTGAGGCCGCTTGGTAACTCACTGCACCTGGTGGCAAGAGCCGGGAAGGGATATAAGGTCAGCATTTCCCTTCGGCTCTTGGCCACAGTAACATGTTTCCTGCCTTGCTGCGTTTGGATTCTTGCTTTCTGATCCTCAGACCTGGGGTTCTTGACTCCTTGCTTTTCGACCCTTGGACCCTCGACTTCGTGACTCCTTGCTCCTCAACTTCATGACTCCTTGCTTCTTGACCCTCAGACCCTTGACTTTGTGACTCCCTACTTCCTGACTCTCAGACCCCTGGCTTCTAGACTCCTGTTCCTGCTCCCACCCTGCCATCTTGCCCCTGGTCCCAACGTCCTCAGCCGGGATCAATCACCCGTAGACAGTGACACATGGGGCTTCATATCTGAAAACTTCAAATTTACAGCTGTCTTGAATAAACAGGATTTGTTTTGTAGTTGTTTGATATATCTTGCCTGGCAATGATATATCACAAGTGTCTTGATGTTCCAGAGCTGTCCAGCAAAACCTTTCCCAATGGTCAGCCAGTCTCCTCCTGTATTTCCTGGTGGCATCTGAGAAAGCATTGGTGGTGGAGGTACTGCTTTAAAAAAAATCAGACTGGCTGGGGTGGTACCACCCAGGAGCTCTCAGTGACTTCCACTGCTCTTGGGCATTCCCAGCCATCTTCACTGGAGAACACGGGAGCAGGTTTGAGTGCTTGTGTCCACCTACCTCCTCTGATCCCCAATTCATGAATATTATCACTGTTGGTTAACTGCTCCAGAAGGCAGTATAGCTAACCATGATGTCTACACACATACTTTTGTTATTCAGTGCTGCAGTGAAGTAGTTAACTGTGTCATCTATTAGAAGCAAGTCTTTTCTTGGGTAGATACCCAATACAGATGATGCTGTTATTCTGTTCAATGCAAATTTTTCAGAATACTATGCTGTAAAAGGAATCTTCAGAAAAACAACAGGCTTTTTCATTTTTCCGGATTCTTTGTGCAGTTGTGTAATATACTTTTAAGTGAGATAACAGAAAATAATATTCTGTTATTGCAGAACTAATGTCAGTAGAGCCATGTACCTCAAGTCCAGCATGAGTATGTTTATCCATCGTGTATGTTGTGATAATGTGGGCTGCATCCTTTTCAGTCTCCAGTATGATTTTCTCAAGTTCAACCAATTCAAATTAGAAACAAGAGTACTGAAGCAATTATAGCAACTTTTCAAAGTAATAACGAAATAAAACACCAGAAAAGTAAAAATAGTAAAATTTAATACATGTGCTATATTTTTAAGTTACTGGAATAAAAATGACCACAAGATGTAGGAAATAAAGAATAATGCTACTTGTTGGAGACTGACAGTTGAAAACGTCTTTATCAGAAGTTAAAGAGGCTAACTTCAGACATGTATACAGCAAAGGCCTGTAGAATCTCGAATCTTAATACAGAGACCTAATGCTTGTATAGTATATCTTAGTGTTTCCTTAGCTCATTATGCATCTCCTAGGGATTTTTGCTGAGAATTCTAACAAGAACAGTTGCTTCTAGGCATTCACTAGATTTTTCAAATTGGAATTTTACTATTTAAAAAGTCCAGAAATTATGAACATTATGAGGGTATTCTAATATTTTTACACTGTGTTCACAAGCATCCAAAACCTCCAGCCTTTAACATATACAAAAATTAGCACACAAATGCTCGGCATTTCAAATAAAAATGTTCCATATGTTCTGCCTGTGAACTGGGTTACCAAGGGAAAGATTTGAAACCTTAACATAGCATTATATCAAGTAGCAGCATAAATTGGTCACAGTAATACTGCTCTCACTTACGGCCAACCTGAAGTATTTGCACCAGTACATGTGCTTGTGAAGCTGTTGTAAGGTAGTGCTAGTATTGCAAGATGACAAAACTGTGAAACAACTGCTGCTGTATCTGATCCTTACACATTTATAGACTGGCCCAGTTTGCACATAATGCCAAGCCAAAACAAGGCTTAGTGCAAACAAAGAAACATTTGCTTTCTGGAGCATATATATATTATGGCCACAGCACTCCTCAAATCTTGCTGCTGCTTAACCTATGCCTTTGACCATGGTTTGACTTAATGTTATGCCTGAACCATAGTTTATCTGCTGCAGACAAACCTCAAGAGGTAAATCAAGGACAAGGCAAACCATGAGTTTGGGTTTGGATGTAACACAAAGCCAATTTATGGCTGAACCCTTTTAGCTGCAAACACTGAGGGAGGATTGCTGCAGCGCAATCTTCACTTCAGGAACCTGAATGTTTGCTCTTTTGCACTAAGTCATGGTTTGGCTTAGTGTTAAATGCAAACCAGGTCAATGTTACATCTAGTATTTGATTAGACTATTAGCCATTACATAGAGTACACATGGCTTAGGATAATCACTTATGGTGGTATCCAACTATTTCATACTCAGAGCAGACCCACTGAAATCAATGGACTTGTTAGTAATGACTAATAAATTGAAAGGCAGGTTCATGCCAAGACATATTTTGCTAACAGACACTCTTATTCTGGCCTTGTATTTAGGTGGGCTGTACTCTAATTAGGTTCTAAATTGAAAACACAACAGACATGTAACATAGCCTGTTAAGTACTGTATATAGTATTCTTTTCTTAGACAAAGACATTACAACATGATGAAAAGTTAAATAAATAAATGCCAGTTAAAAACACATTTATAATTTTCTCTGTGCAATTTCGTACCCATATGAAAAATATCACTGATCTCTGCACATCTGCATGAGTCGCCCTTCAAAACTCTGCCAAAAATAATACTGACAACAAAAATTAAAGAAAAAAAGGATTTGCTAATGAATTCAGTGCTTCAAGGCTATTAAAAACAATATTTAAACTTTTAGTTTTTCTTGCAGAACAGTGACCCAACACGTAAAAGCCAATGATGAAAATGTTTATAATAAACTATTAGATTTTCAATTGCTGAATGACCCTTAGCGGAAATGGAATGTGTGAACTATACTTTTCAACATACAGTCTGAAGGCAAGTTGAGAGAATGCCAATAGCTTCTCACTGTGCCATTTTCAATGGCAAAGAAATATTACAGCTTTAAAATAAGCTGCACAATACTCATTATCTTAACCCTTTCACATGAAAGTGTGTAAAAGCAAATCAGCAAATAAATTCTAAAAGTGATTTATAGGTTATATTTTCCCTATTACACGTTGGGTGTAGAGCTTTCATCCACATTTCCATTCTCTGTTTTGAACTTCTTTCCAGAAGAGTTGTAGCAAGTGATGTAAATGTTTGGATGCAATGTATTAGCCGATTGAATTTCTGCATACTAATAATGGTTTGTTCCTTGTTGCTTTTTTACAGTGCTTGTAGCAAGAGACGGATCAGATGTCTATTCCTTTAACGAGGGATGCCTCCAATGTGATGTTGAACTCCTGCAAAGTCTGCAGCACACGAATCAAGGAATTCACTAGGGTATGATCCTTTATGAGCGCTGTATCCTCATACATCTGAGCTGTGATGGGGCAGTCTGCCAGCAAGGCAATCCAATGGTGCAAGAGGTGATCTCTGTAAGGGAATGTTTTGAAATTTCAAACAAGTTATAAAATATTTTTAATTCTTTAAAAAAGAAACTTATCACATTTCCTGGTATTTTAGTATCACAATTCTTCCTAATACCACTACCAGTTAGTATTGACAATACTAGGTTTAACTGGTGTGAGTTTATAAAAACTGAACTCTAGGTCAATCTTTTGGCTCAGTATCATTTCTTATTTGCTTCATATCCCAAATAACTTGGAAAAAACATGGCCGCTCGCTTTATCCAAAATGACTGGCACTTGATGCTAAAGCTATACCTAGCTGTGGTGGTACAGAAGGACTGGCAACTACAGGGGCATCTAATGCAATACAGTTAGGGCAGGCCTATCTTGCTATTCTTATTCAATAGCAATCCCATTATTATAGGTTACTACTAAACGGCCAGTATGCAAATTAGAAGGCTCCATACTGACTGAATTGTTAGTTGCATAGAACACCAGTCTTGCCCTGCCATGTCTCCTTTCTGCTGATTTCTAGGCTCCATAATGGCCTTTACAGAAGCCACATCAGGCAACATCAGTTCTGCTGTGTTGCCAGCACAGCAGAACTGGCATACATTTTGTTGCACTGGCATAACATTCTAGATCAGCCTGAGGCCATGTCTTGGCTATATCTTTGCTGCTGCAGGAATCCACAGCACTAGGCTGCCCTACATCAGTGACAATTAGAGAGCTGGAAAGGATTTTAAAAACAATCCTGTAGCCAAATTCTCCCAAGAAAGCGTCATCTCATTCACCAATCAACTTACACAATTCAGACCACAATGCACCACAGACAGACTCAGGGGAGCTTCCAAAAGGTGTTTACAAGGCAAATTGCTTTAAAACGGCCCAAGCCACATACTGGAAACCATTAGGAGCACTGCTAGTTTGATTGGGAAATGCTCAGTTGTACAAAATTTGCAGCCATGAAGCAATCTTATGGAAAATTTAACTGGGTGCATCTCCATGCCTTGCCCTTGTTGTGATGACCCTGATTTTCCCAATGAGAAGGGATGCAGAAATCAAGGCCTATGCATGTGAAAGGCCCTTTCTGATTTCAAAGGGCTACAACTAAGGTATAGAAAACGCCACACGATTCTCCATAAATTTCTTATAACTGTGCCCTGAAACCAAAGAGCTTATTTGCTGCCTCTGTGGTTCCAGGAAAGACTGTTTCACAAAAATTTCTGACTTGTCAATTTTTGTTTTGTAGCTGCTGTTTATTGTACATCTGAGCCAGTGTGCTATAATAGATAGAGTGTTGGACTATGACCTGGATGACCAGGGTTCAAATTCCTACTCAGTTATTGTCAGGGAACTGACATCAGAGTGAAAGGCGAAGGGGAGGCTCCCAGATTCTGCTGGCGAAGGACCCAGCACCAGGAGGAGAAGCAGCTCGGTAGAGGGGGAAGGAAATCAGCGCAACACCAGGGATAAAGGGGGGCAGATGGGGGAAGCGGAGAGAGAGCTCCGGGACTCTTCACTGGACATCAGTGAGGAGAGTACAGGTCCTCCACTACCCACGCCCTCCCTGCGCAGAAGACTCCCGCGCAGTGAGAGGAGGAGGAGACTGGGAGTCAAACAGCTTCTATGCTGGAAGAGGTTTAAGAAACGCCCACAGACAGATTCTGCTAGCGACTGATACAGCCACGCGGAGAGGGGCTGTGCAGTCAGAACGGTTTAACAAGGCAATTTAGCCTAGAGAGGCGGCAGTTTACGCACGAGTAACTCATACCCATTACAGTTATGAAGCTCACTGGGTGACCTTGGGGCAGTCACTGTGTCTCAGCCTTATCTACCTCACAGGGAAGTAGTGAGGATAAAATGGGGAGTTGGAGAACCATGTGCAGCATCTTGAACTCCTTGGAAGAAACTGTAGTATATATAAATGTATATATATAAATGTAATAAATAAATAAATAAATCTAGCCTCCTTTAATATAAAATAGTTCACCTCCCTCTTCAGATTAATTCTTCTACTATTTGGAAGAATACTTTCATATCCCCTCTCAGCCTTGTTTTTTGTTTTCTTTTGTTTTGTTTTGTAAACTAAGTGGGTCAAGCACTTTTAATCTCCTGTCAAGATAAATTCCAGTGATCATGTTCTAATTTCAGATTTCCAAAGTGGCAGAAGAAGTGTAAGGATATGCAATTTGGTCAAAGGACTCAAAATCTGGACATCAAAACAGTAATAAAAGAAAACTGATCAGTGTGAAAGCAACTCTGTCACATTAGACCAGGCAATTATATACAAATGAAAATATGCTTATGGAAATACAATACCTGGCTCCAAGGCACACCAGCATCTGAAACTTGCCATCTTTCCCAATGTTTCTAGGAGTGTTATTGATGGCTGTGACAAAGCGACAAAAACTCCTGGCCCTTTTCTGCCAGTTTTCCTCTGGGACCAATTCATTTTGCTCTAGAGCCTCATAATATCCTTGTGCTTTTTCTGGAGACAGAGTCATATAACATAATGATCAGATCAGTAGAAAAACTCAAAACCTTCCTCACATATTGGTGGCAGTATAATTATTTATACAATTAATAAAATATTTGAAGATGGCTATCATTTCACCTCTGTTATCCAGTCTAAACATACCCACCCCTTCAACCTTTTCCCATAGGAAGGTTTCCTGTACTTACCTAGAAAGTCCCAAATGAAGACATTTTTGAAGAGCCTGGGGGATTTAAATCCATGCTGAAACACCTGCTCAAGAGCTGAGACAAGCCCACCTTCACCACACAGCAAAAGTGTTAAACTGCCTCTCTGCCAATGGGATATAAAATAAATATTAGTTTTCAGATGTTAGCCATGGTATATTATGAATATATCTGTCAAATTACTGTGGCTTTTAAAAACAGACTACCAATAGTCTGCACTGACTGAGTTTATCAGTTAGTGGCACCCATTAGAAAAACGCTCAATAATAAGATTTCAACAACAATCAGATCTCACAACAGCTACCATTTACTCACTTTATGAAATTACAAGTCAGTATTATTATTGATGAAATAGCTTTCCACCCTGGTTATGTTCACATACACACACAAACACCTTTGTTCACTGCTGCTCAACATGGGTAAGAAGCTCCCCCTGTGCAGAGCAACAGAAAACAAAGCACCCGTCCTTGGACCTTCACTTCTGTTTGATGAAGAGCTGGAGAAAATGAGGTGCCTTGATCAGGAAAGGACACTGTTATTTATAAAATGAGTACTACAGTATACCGATAAGTATAACACAAGACTGCTGTTCCGTTTTGTGGCCTTTGGCATGCAAAATCCCAAACTTTGTCCCCTAGTGCTTTTACTTATACATGAAACCACTGGGGAAGGTCATCCAGAGGTTTAGGTTGAGATGCCATCAATTTGCTGATGACATTTCATTTTTTCCCATCATTCAAAACCCAGGGAGGCAATGGAAACAATAAATTAGTGTCTGGCATCAGTTCTGAAGTGAATTGAACCTTAATCCAAACAAGGTAGAGGTACTGTTGTTCAGGAGTTTTGAAGATCTGGAAGAAGATGCCTCAAACATCCTTATTGGAACATGTAATTCTAATGTTGTTTAACTTCACTGGCTACTTATTTGTTTGCTCAGTTTGAAGTACTGGTCTTGGCCTTTAAAATCCCAAATGGACTTGGACCAGATGCCTCACAGGCCCTATTCTCTGTGTCATCAACATCTCAGATGTAAGTAAACACACAAGACAGGGCCTCCTGGATGGTGGTGCCATGGCTCTGGAATGCCCTCCAGTTGGAGATTCACTAGCCCTCCTTTTTACTGGTCTTTAGTTAGAAACTGGAAATATATTTGACAGCCTTTTAATATGTAATTTCTGTTACTGCTTTTATATGAAACAGTTTTTAATTTGTAATGCTACTGGCTGTTTTTAACAATATATATATTTTTGTAAGCTAGACTAGGAGCATAAATATGAGACACAAAAGTTAAAAATACCCAATCTACTGGATATCACAAGACAGCATATCTAGTACTACAAATCAGAACAAATAGAGAAGGGGTTGTCAAAAAAAGTCCCAAATGGGATACTATGATCTTTGTGATCAAGGCAAAGCTGACAAATTCAAACAATTGGCATACTGTTTTATCAGACTTAATTCTAAGGCTTGGTTCGGATATAATACTGGATCCAGGGTTAAGTGACTGACTGCAGACTACAGGAGTGCAGTCTATTCTCACATGTAAATTTTCCTGCTCCCTTTTACCTGGGTCCAAAGTTATTTATTACCTTTGTTAATCCTGGTTAAGACAAACACAATTTTGGATTAAAAATTTACTGAAGAACTCTGATTAAAACTGACATCAAGAAAAAATGTAGCTGCAAGATTCTGTATTTGGCTATGCATAATTCCCTTCAACTCGTCAGCTGCATGTGCACATCTGTGCCACACTGTTCTGCTGAACCAATATTCCTGTCAATTCTAGCTATGGTCTTTCATAAACTAACTAGCGAACACATAAATATAAACAGAGAAATATTATCAAGCTCAATGACAATGCTCACCTCTTTCTCTGGCTTGTGGAAGTGTTTGACAATTCCATTTACTGCTTCACCAATAGATTCTTGTATTTGACCTGTGTTTAACTCTGTGCAAGAAAGAAAAAATGCATTTGTTTAAGCAATTATTTGTTTTTCACTTGGCCAGGGACTTCAGAAAGGAACTAGATCCAGGCTTATGCTTTTTACATTCTAAAATAGTACAGATTTATCAACATTCGTGCATTTATCTTTTGTAATATAGGGTTTTGGAAGTAATGAGCAAAACCCACCAAGCAGCCATATAGGGAACAGCTGCATCTACTTTATTGGGTAAATAATGTTTGAAGGTGAAGGGGGAAACATTACACAGAGGTTGAAATCTTGATAAATTAAACGAGAAGACCTCCAACAGCAAGCAATGGTTACAACAGTAGTTTGTAGATTAAAATCAACTAAAGTTGATCCTTCCTTCTCCCTTTCCCCCATCACCAGAAATGAGACTGACTCACATATTGTCAAACAAGCTGCAGCAAGACAAAAGAATATTTAAGTAGCCTAATTAAGATTTAAAACCAGAGTACTTCTCTGTTTTTGAGATGGTGGAAGCAAGACATGCAACAAAATGTTGCAGAGTGGAGACCTGTTCAAAATTCCAGCCATTCCCTTTTTTCAGGATAATCTGTTTTATCCCCAATTCCCACAAGGCAGTCAGTCAACATTTCATTCTCACTGAGCTATTTTTGGGTTTGTCCCCCATATGATTTCCCCCCCTATAGACTTTTTGTACTTCCACAAACTGTGGGGCTCCCCCAAGTCTACTAATATGTGTATGGATGATGTTTTGGCTACATAAATAACTACACTCAGAGAACTGAGTTCGCTGTTACTATATGTAAGATTACTAGTAAAAGGTTTTTTTCAATCTAACCAGCTTACTTGGTTTGTTGTTTGGTGATATTGTAACGAATCTTCTAATCATACTTGGGGACTGCTGCAAAGGTGGAGTTCTGCACTGCCTTTCATCTACCTCAGAATGGGATGTCAGCAATTCTCCGACCAGGATCCTCTCTAAACTGCCATCATCCATCCCTTTTCCAAGCCACCTCCCACATGGAAACCTAAAGACATGAAATAAGAAAAAAGACACATGATGCAGCTCTTAATCCCAGATTTTAGCAAGAGGCTATACATTAAGTGATTCAGTAAAATGGCTTTTATTTCATGCTGGGCATACTCCATTTACTAAAATTTCTCATCCCTGCAAGACTGGTCCAGCACAAGAATTGAACAGTATTAGTCACAGGAGGAGTTATGTAACTGACTAATCCACAGGGGCCACATACATGTGCTGTTGGAAACAGAAATCTGAATCTTCTGGACCATAAGCAAACAGATATTTTGGACAGAAAACAGATTGATTGGATTTATTGACCAAATTGGATCTGAACCAAAGGAACACAAACCATTGACTTTTCCACTCCCATGACGCGCTGGCAGCCTCTTGAAAAACCTATCACAAGAGTCAGAGGACCCTGAAAAATGGGGCAAACTGTGGTGCAGGGGGGCTGAGAGGAAAGGAAGGGTTTGTTGGAATTTAGGTGGAGTCACCATTTGTAAGCAGGAACTCCCACTGACAGACGATGCCCCCACCCAAATTTCAGCATTCCCTTCCAGCTCCCCTGTGCCACAGCCCTTGACCCTCAGAAGAGGCGTTTCAAGGGAACCTGGGGGCTGACGGGTCTTGGAGAGGTAGGAGAGTCACCTTCCACCAATCCCCTTTGGCTAATATTTCTCTGGATGCAACCAAATGTAATTAATAATGTTCATTAGATATGAAACTTCTTTGAGACAGGGCTTTTTTTCCAGAACTCACCAGAACTAAGTTCTGGCAGGTCTCAGGTGCATGCCAGGGGAGAACAGGGGAGGCATTTGTGGTGAGTTCTGGCACCTTTTTTAGAAAAATAGTAAAAATAAATAAATACATCGCACATCTAGCTGAGTTTCCACAGCCACTTGGGGTGGCTCCCAATCGAGTGTTAAAAACAATACAACATTAAATATTAAAAACTTCCCTAAACAGGGCTGCCTTCAGATGTCTTTTAAAAATAGGATAGCTGCTTATTTCCTTGACATCTGATGGAAGGACGTTCCACAGGGTGGGCACCACTACCGAGAAGGCCCTCTGTCTGGTTCCCTGTAACCTCACTTCTCGCAATGAGGGAACTGCCAGAAGGCCCTCGGCACTGGATCTCAGATGGGGGTGGAGACACTCCTTCAGGTATAATGAACCAAGGCCATTTAGGGCTTTAAAGGTCAGCACCAACACTTTGAATTGTGCTCGGAAATGTTCTGGGAGCCAATGCAGATCTCTCAGGACCAGTGTTATATGGTCCCAGCGGCCACTTCCAGTCACCAGTCTAGCCGCCGCATTCTGCATTAATTGCAGTTTCCGGGTCACCTTCAAAGGTAGCCCCACGTAGAGCACATTGCAGTAGTCCAAGCGGGAGATAACTAGAGCATGCACCACTCTGGTTGAGACAGTCCGCGGGCAGGTAGGGTCTTAGCCTGTGTACCAGGTGGAGCTGGAAGACAGCTGCCCTGGACACAGAATTAACCTGCGCCTCCATGGACAGCTGTGAGTCCAAAATGACTCCCAGGCTGCGCACCTGGTCCTTCAGGGGCACAGTTACCCCATTCAGGACCAGGGAGTCCCCCACACCCACCCTCCCCCTGTCCCCCAAAAATAGTACGTCTGTCTTGTCAGGATTCAACCTCAATCTGTTAGCTGCCATCCGTCCTCCAACCACCTCCAGGCACTTACACAGGACTGTGTGTGTGTGTGTGTGTGTGTGTGCGCGCGCACACACACACGCGCGGTCGTGTGTGTGTTCATAGATTTGCTAGTGTATACAAATAAATATCTATTGTACATTGACAGTATATAAATTTGTGTGTTGAAATGGACAAGAAAGCACTCTAAATCATACAAGCCAATAGATAATTCAGCTTAATTCCAATTTCAGTGAACATAAACTTATCATAGCGGATATAAACAAGAAGAGGCATCAAATCATACTCTGTAAAACAGTGTATATTTTTTATTTACAGATGAGCTTTATGAGAAACAAGTCTTGTGCGACATTAGAATATGTATCAGTAACTGATTTGGTCCCACAGGGCAAGAAAAGGAATACCTATCAGACCAGTTGGCCCTCTTAAGTATTTTGAGCAGCAACAGGCTGATTTTAAAAGGAAGTTGATGCAGTTATGATACAACATTTTCAATACATCCTTTCAGGCAATCCATAAAAAAGCTGAAATGCTGCTTACTTGTAAGTGTGACCCGTTACTTCATTTCTCACCATGACATATTCCACAAGCCACTTTGCATACAGTCCAGAATTATCATGTCCTATTTGTACTGTGGTAAGCTTTCCCAGGTTCTGACACTGAAAATTCAAAAAGGGGTGGGGGGAAATCTGCTGAATCAAAACAGAAAACATCACAGTGACTATAGCCTACTGAACAGAGCAATAATATCCAAACTTAGCAATGACTAAACACAATGCCACGTTTTAGAGAAAAAGCAAGTTTACAAACCAAATGGTAAGGGAACTTTTAAAATAACACAATGGAAAGTCTATAGAGATAGTTTTACACTTCCCTCTCCAGCTAACATATTTTGATCATAATTTTCTATAGGTTTGCTGGGCTCTCATAGAAAGATTCCAAAAAGGGAGATACAAGCAATTTGTATTATACAGGTGCACATATATTTTAGGTTGTGAACTGCCCTGTGATCTTCAGATGAAGGGTGATATGCATATTTAATTAACAATAATAATAATAATAATAATAATAATAGAAAAATAATAGAAAAAGTCCCCAGCAATTTTTGACTTCTTTTGACTTTTATCTTTAGGTAAGGGCATACCTCAAATGTCATCTCCAGTGTATTCCTTGGAATGTGTAGGACTCCTGTTTCACCCAGTTCTCCTGAAATGCATATCCATGGGTTGGCTGTGAACATTGAGCCACCAAGTTTTTTGCTAGGAATGATCAATATATGGTATGGAATCACTGTAAAACAGAACAAAAAAACAATGTGGCTGGAACAAGTTGTCCAAGAACAAATGCAAATACAATTGAAGCAGAATAACAAATACCCATTATACTATATTCTTAGGCAGAAATATCATCCGCTAGGCTTGATCTCAGACTCCCAGGGAGTGAAAGAAAAAGCACTGAAAGCTTATTTTGGACAGACAGACAGAAGCGTACCAATGGAGTCTAGTGATGTTAAAACAGGTCCAACTATGGCTCCAAAAGCAGCATGTCTTTCAAAAGAGAAGTGAGAACTAATGACAGATCTCTCACAAGGGGAGCTCAGAAGAGAGCATAGGAAACTTATCATACTCATGCTGAGTATGAAGATGAACATAAAAAGGCAGGTAGGAGAAGGATAATGCAGAGAACTTATAAGGAAGCATACAAAATTGGCAGTGTTGGAGGTAGGGAAGATTTCAAATGAATTGCAATATGCTAATCAAAAATACTAGAATGTATCGATGAGGTCTCACTGCTAATTTACCACACAGAATCATGCTCAGTGTTATAAAACAGAAATTTGTTTGAAATATATTTCCTGTGGCCAAAATTGTAGTAAGTTCACACAGTAAAAAAACAACCAACCGTGGATTTTACACTCTGCGGAGTTACAAATTATATCATCTCATGAAAGGGGTATTGGTAGACTCCCAGCATGAGATATCTGTACGCTGTTATAAAATAAATGAGGCTATACGAATGTGTCAAACACGCTTTAAACCCCTTTGAAAAGTAACCCAACAATTAAAAGCTATACTTACAGATAGTTGTAAAAACATTGGTAAAACAAAAGTAATCAACAGCGTTGAATGACAGGAGATGATACAGAAATTGCTCTTTTTCATCATCACAGCGGAGGAATGCATAGCGCTTGTAGAGTTTTCTGACAAAGAAAACAAAATTATATATTACTATAACAAGACTTCCCAGACAGAGGGTTGCTGGCATTTACAATGAACCAATCAATATGTGTATCATGTAACCACTAAAGTTTTGACTTCTAACTACCTTACTCCATAGATGTTTCAGGTAGGCTTGCACCCACTTAACTGCCAACATTTCAGTTAGGAATACAGTGGTACCTTGGTTTACAAACTTAATCCATTCTGGAGGTCCCTTCTTAGACCGAAGCGTTCTTAAACTGCGGTGTGTGCTTTCCTTAATGAGGCCTCCTGCCGCTGGTGTTTGGCTTCCATTTTTCTTCCGGGGCAAAGTTCGCTAACCGGAACACCTACTTCTGGTTTTGCGGAGTTCATTGTCCAAAGTGCTCATTAACAGGGCTGTTCATAGACCAAGGTACCACTGTACTATTTCCCACACCTTTGCTGTACAAAAAATAATTTAAATTTTCTTTTTGAAATTATAATGATTTTAGCCCCCTGTGGTTTGAATAGTTTGGAAGCATAGCTGATGAAGGCTCAAAAACCAGGGGAAGCAGAAGGAAAGGCCACAGGGAATATAGTCTCCTTCGGCTACACCTTCTGCCATCCTTTCCCCATTTGCTCACCCATTCTTATTCACAATTTCCTGCTCTTTCCATTCCCCTTTCCTACTTTCCTTCACCACAGTCCTCATCAAAATATTTAATGTTATTGGAAAAGTTGAGTTTAGGAAGAAAATCAGAGTATCCAAATATATAAAATAATTGTACACAATTTACAGCACAATCCTTTGTGTGTACTCAGGAATAAGACCTATTAAGTTCAGTGGGAATTATTCCCAGGTAAGTGAATATAGGAATGCAATCTTATTTGGTCATCAGAGTTTTTATGGAATACAAACTACCATGCACAAGCATTGCTCATTACCTTAATTTTCTAGTTATATTTACCCCCATTCAATGCCTTGAACAATGCACTGATGTAATTAGGAAGTGAGAAAAATGTAAAGAACAGAAAATTCATTCCTATAATACCAGAACAGATGCTAAGGAAATTCCTCTGCTATAACGTGTTTAGATCCTACCCTGCCTCCAAGGTGCTCTCAGTAGCTCACATCAGGATTATCCCATTATAGTCATTTTTCATAAGAGTTATATTTTTCAAAGTTGAAACCAACAGTCTTCCAGTTTAAGATAGCTGAAAGAAATACTGTTTTGGAGATGTCTTCATCTAGTTTATTTTGGACTTTCTGACCATTACTATACAAAATATGTAGCAAAGGGAATGAACCCAAATTTTCTGAATGCAAACTTATGCATGCCCTCTTTGTTCCAAGCCTATCCTTTTTCAAGATTATTCTGTTTCTCAAGCAGCTTTATCAGTACCTGATAAAATCATATACTGTTTTATCTATTTTCTTTGCTGAAGGCTATGGCAAGTCTATTTAAAAAGCAACTACCACAAACCAACAGATCTCCGTTAACCTCAAGCTGGACTCAACTTACTTTGTGAGTTCATGATCAGAAAGAAGGTGTTTCAGGTGACGGGAAAGTAATTTCTTTTCCATAGAGAGCCGAACCCAAGCTCGAGCCTTACCAACATCAGTTTTGATCTCACTTATATTCTGGATATGCCTGAGAAGGAAAAGCAGGTTATTGTGCTGTCCTACTTTTTACTGAGTTAGAAAAGAAGTTGACAGGAATGCATTGCACAGTACCCCAGGTGAACCAACAGAAAGTCTTCCTGATGTTGCTGAACTACAACTCCCATTATCCTTGATTATTAGCTATGCCGGCCAGGATTGAGAGGAATTATAGTCCAACCATATCTAGTAAGCATACACTGGCTACCACTGTAATAGACATTACAAGTCTACCCCATTCACCTATAAAGTCAAGAGTGTTTAGATTTTATTCAAATTAAGCTAGTGGGTAAAGAGAACTTGGCACTGCCCCTGCCTATCTCTTATACCACTGCATTCCGTTGCTTCAAACAATCTTCTCATGAGCCTAGGTAGCAGAACTGAGCTGCAAGAAAAATTGAATGAAGCAATGAAACTCAGTGAGGAAAAGTGGGAGAGAGGGCAGGGTTTAGTTCCCCACACCCATGTGCTCCACTGCATGTTTAAGAAAAAGAAAGACTGCATGCTCCACACACTCCTTTATGGAGCAAACCCATGAATAAATACTGCTGCCCTCTTTAGTTTGGCCCTAAGATGACATCAACAAGCAACTAAAGTAGCAGAAATAACCATAAGTGCAAGTAAATATTGAAGTAGGTTTTAAAGAGGTTTTACTAACCAGTGAAAGGAATATAAAATTGTGCAGGATGAACATCCCTCCCCCTCAAAAAACACAAGATATTCCTAAGTGATCTTACTATATATCTTTAGCACAGTTGATACCAAGTATAATAATTAAAAATAATGAGAATTTGCTTTGTTTTGAATAGCCAATCATTAACGGCCAGGAACTCTCTTTATGCGAGAATGTTATATTCAGAAAGGCTGTGACTTGTTAGATATACACACAGAAAATTGGTAATCATATTCATGAAATGTTTGACTTCTAGGCCTCAGCATTAATCATTGTTTCCAGAAGAGAGAACGCTATTAGAAAGCTGCCAGCTTTGTAAATTCCTCCCATACAAGGAAGGTATGAAGGAAGGAATGAAGCAAAGTCAGTGGGGGGTGGACTGGGGAGACAGGGAATAGAGATCTGGCCAGATAGAGACCTGGCAGCTGGATAGAGAGCTCCTGGCAGCCCCCATGCCTTAGATTTCCCTCCCTGTAATAAAATACTTATCAGCAATGACTACTACAGCAATGTCATATGACATAAAAAGTGTAGTTGTCTATATTTCTCTATCATACAACAAATGCTCAATAGATTATTAGTTTGTTCTGAAACCATTCACTTCTTCCTGCTCAGCATATATACCTACTGAATCTAACTGCTACAAAAGATAAAGCACTCTTGTTTTTTTTGCATTCTGTGCTTATTCATATATTAAGCTATTTTATATACTGCTTCATTACAGAAGGTAAAATAAGACACTCTTAATACTTGCCACTTAAGAGTAGTTGCCATATTAATGTACTACATATGCTAAAGTCTACTTAAAATGCATGAAATGGACAGGCACTCAACTAACTCATTCCATCAGTGCAAGGATTTCTGCTTGCTCAACAGAACTTTCCCCCTCCTGCTCCCCCTAAATCTGGTCTGGGTGTTCTCCAAAGTCTGTGGAGCAGCTTCGGGGTGTGAACACAGAGATGGGGAGGAAGTTCTATTGTGCAAGTGGAAATCTCTGTGTTGATGGAACAAGTTAGTTGGATAGATGCCACTTTTTAACTTTCAAGCTCAACTTGTTAACTGGGTTTTATTTCCACAGTACACACATACATGCACACACACCAGCCCTGGCTCCTTTGGGACAGAGGACAGGGCAGAAAATTAACAAATATAATAAAAAACTACCCTTTTAAGTTCATTCCATGCATCCGATGGAGTAGACTTGCCTATAAATGCTTATGATAAAATAAACTTAACCCATCCAATTCCCACAGCTTCACACAATTTTGAATTAGGCCTTTTCTCCACAGAGTGAGTTTAATTTACAGGAAGTCATTTCACTGTAAAAAGAAAAACAGACACTGACTTTTAATCACTTAAGGAGAACTTTGGAAGAGAAGAACTAGAACTGCAATCCTCAACTTGCTTAAAGGTAAAGGTAAAGGTACCCTGCCCGTACGGGCCAGTCTTGACAGACTCTAGGGTTGTGCACTCATCTCACTCTATAGGCCGGGAGCCAGCGCTGTCCGCAGACACTTCCGGGTAACGTGGCCAGCGTGACAAAGCTACTCTGGTGAGCCAGAGCCGCACACGGAAACGCCGTTTACCTTCCCGCTAGTAAGCGGTCCCTATTTATCTACTTGCACCCGGGGGTGCTTTCAAACTGCTAGGTTGGCATGCGCTGGGACCAAGCAGCGGGGATTCGAACCGCCGACCATGCGATTGGCAAGTCCTAGGCGCTGAGGTTTTACCCACAGCGCCACCCGCGTCCCATTCAACTTGCTTACTAGGAAGTAAAACCCACTGAACACAATGGGACCTGCTTCTCAGTAAGCATTCTTAGGATTGCACTGTCCATCTCCAATCAGGAAAAAGAGGCTAACTCAAAAAGCTAACAGGAGCTATTTTAAAGTCAGCTGTACTTAAAATATTGATAAACCTTTCATGAAAGTTGTGTGTTGTTTTTTTTAAAACCAACCTCATGTCTTGGATGAGAGATACTCTTAAGGGAGACATTGCTGGGCTGGCATCAGACTTCCTTCTTTCTGAATCAAGTAGTATTCCTAAATTAAATATAACATTTTGTATTAGTACAAATATTGATTTGTATTTACATTGGTAAATGCTTTCCATTTTAGCAATGCACTTAGTCAGCAAATGAATATTTGGGCTTACTGCAAACATTCACAAGAACCTAGCAGCCAGCCCACAGGGCTCTTTTGGATAGTCTGGAGGTTGCTGACTCCCACTGTGGAGGAAGAATCCCTGGAGCTCTAGAAGATATGCTTCTAGATATGACCCCTGCCCATCTTGGATCCAGATGATAGTTAATGTGTAATTGCATGAGGGAGTGATCACTGCCACCTATGGCCACTCTTAAAAAATATAGCCCTGGACCCATTGGTTTGGACTACCAACCAGTTCCAAATATTCTCACTATAGGGAAGGTTGTGGCAGGTTTTGAGACTGAATCACACTTAGTCACCCTGATGGATGAAATGTATTGCGATCAGGTGACTTGGCTTCAGCTTGTGTACTCCTTCAGAAAGAGCATGTTCATAGTTTGGGGGTGCTCCTGGATACATATTTGTTGCTGTAAGCTCAGGCAGTGTCACTGGCTAGGAATGCCTTTTACCAGCTAAAGCTATGGACATTCTTGGACAGGGATAACCTGGACACAGTTATCTTATCCATGCACTGCTAATCTCAAGACTCAGTTATTGGAGTGCACTCTATGTGTGGTTACCCAGGAGCCAGGTCCAGAAGCTCACCTGGAGCAAAATGCTGCAGCTAGACTGTTCCTGGAGACAGACTTCCACCAGCACATAGCTTGCTCTGGCTGTTCATATGCCCAAATATCTTGTTCTTCTGCCCAATCAAGGATGTCCTCAGAGGAGTCACTATTAGTTATCCCCATGAGTCAGACATACAGCTTGTGTGCTGTGGACCTAACTCTGTGCAGCTCCCTCCCAGTCACGGTCAAACAAACCTGTTCTCTGTTAACTTCTGGCACTTAGTGAATACCTCTCTATTTCAGAAGGCATTTTTCTGATTTTATGGTTAAGTTTAAATGATTTTTATCTCATTTGTATCTTTTTTGTATCCTTATTGTGCAACACTTAAGAGACTTGGTGTTAAATAATAATATACATTGTTGAAGTTAATAAATAAATTAACTTAATAAATCTGTGCAATCACTCTTTTGTGACTTTTTCTTTCTCAAAATGGAGAACACTGTTCATAACCTTTATACAAACCAACAATACCTGAGGTACTGAAGCTTCCGGATGTAGGTTTTCGCTGTCTATTTTCTTGGTAATGTAACAAATGTGACCACAAAGCAGACTTCCCCTAAGATTTAAAAGAAAGATTGTCAAATGCAGCATAAATTGCTAATTTTGAGCATTATTCATATCTTTAGTTTTATTTCAAAAATGTTCCATTTTAAACGTAATCATCAGATACTACTGTACCAAGACAAAATCTCTAAAACAAATCTGCACACCAACCTTTTCCTATATTCACTAAATGATTCCATTAAACTGCCAATCAGCCTAAAGCAGGCTATACACATCAACTACTTCCACTCCGACCACATATTCTCATAGCTGAGCCTCTATTGTGCACTCCACTACTCAGTCATTTCATATCACAAGAAGTCTGAGAAAGCAATATAAATATAAAATGCAGTATTCAAAGGCTTGCAAAACTGGTATGTTATCCAGATTAACCTAGCCTTTGTTGAAAAGGTTCTCAACTTTACTGTAACCTTCCTTTGATAGAGAAATTTAATAAACTATCACCAACATGTGTGGCAATACTAGTGTTGTGCTCTTATAACACACAGGTGGATGTCCTCTAGTTGTCCTATTTGCCCCGGCCAGAATGGCCTATATTCAGAGATTTATGCAAGTTGTAGTCCAGCAACAGTTAGAGAGCTATAGGTTCCCCATTCCTGTCAGATCACAATCAAAAGGAAACCCATCCCTCAATGAGGGACATGGTAATCTTGACAGACCAACTTAAATTCTACTGCCAGTCTCTGCCGAGCTGGGCAGATTTTACTATGCTGTTTTTGACAGACTTAATTTACTCTGGATATTTGGGTTATTCTTTATAAATCCAAGGCTACAACCCTATGCCTACTCCCTAAGGAGTGGGAATAAGGCCCACTGAATTTAATGGGACTTACTCCCAATATACGTTCACAGGTACCTGTATGCAATCCTGCCGAATGCCACCACATTTATTCTAGGACAGAGTTCTAATTAAATTCCCCTTTTATGTTTATTTTCTATATTCCTGAATTTATCTTCTGTTTTCCTGAACGGGCTGTTTTGTTTTAATAGAATTTGTTTGCTCCTGGTTTGTCCAAAGCTCTGGTCAAATCTCAAAGTCTTGCCAAGACACTTGAATTTGGATATAATAAAATACTGTACAGTATAATACAGAGGTAACGCATGTGCATAATCTTACTACAGCTAAGCTTCTCACTCTTTATGAAACCCTGATAAAACTGGGGCACCATTTCCTAGCTGCAGATTCAATGGATCCCCACTGGCCTCAGATATAGAAAGGAAAAAGTCTGCACTTCATCTATGTTGTCGCCAGCTTCTAAAATTTGATTCTTGACCTTGAACCAAATCATGGAGCTGTTCCTCATCAGCCAGCTACTTTCCCTTGTAAACAAAGCACGGCAACCCATGCATGCTCCCCAAACCCTTCTGTCCTGCTTTAAGGCATCCAAGTCTTTCTTGTAAAGAAGTTGTCTTCCAGATCGTGGCTTGGGCTGCCAGGTGCTGAGTCCAATCTTAACACATTAGGTACCAGTGTCCTGGCTCTTTCTATTGCCCAGAACAACAGAATTCTAGACAACCTTTCAGAAATCCTTGCATAACTGGATGTAAAAAAAAGTGGTAGCAGCTACTAAATATGACTCCTAAGCAAGAACTGGATGGCCTAGTCTCTCATGATTGTTACAAATTTAATTCCTGAGTGGCACAAAGACCAACCAGCATGTGGGTTTGTTCAGAGCAATCTACAGATCATCACAAATACTATCTGAAAGCTGATATCTACCTAGCATAATAGGACATAATGAAACCCATTCACTCATTTGTTGTAATAGGACCCAATTTGGCTCCTGTCACCCTTCCCCAGCATTCCAGACTAAGTGTTCATGTTAATAGCAGCAGGCTGATTATATCTGTAAGAGAGAACTCATTATTTCAAAGAGAAACATGCTATAACCTATTATGACTGCAACATAGTTTGCAAGGCATGTGGACGAGAATACCCTAAAAGTCTAGTTCACATAGGGCTAATAACCACCAAATATAAAACGTGGGCAAGCTATAGATGAATGAAAAGAAGCATAAGAATAAGTGCAACTCCACACATAAGTGATTTCCTCCATGCAGATCACCACCATGTAACCAAAATCAGTTTACCTTAGAAGGAATTCAGCCCTAAGGAGATCACTCTGTCAGTTTCTGCTTGCCTGATGGAACAATCTCCCTTCTCCTCCCCCCTGTGCACTGTTATGGAGGTTCTCCTGACCCCTTCAAGCCAATATGGGAGTGGGGGACACAGGGGGAGGAGAGGGTGGGAAATCCTGTTGTGCTAGTTGAAATCACACGCGTTTCCACCAGTGGGATTCATTAGTTAAATCTGATACTGTCGTAAATGTCAAAATTAACATGTTCTATCATACACACACAAGGATCAGCCAGAAAGCCAGTGCTTCTCACCAGATGTGAGTGGTAACAAAGCATTCATAATATATGATGCAAATGAATTAAACAACTTATTGTACAGAAATAAAACCTGTGTAGGCTGTATCTTTGAAGCATTAAAGGTGAAGGAGGGAATCAGGTGAAGACAAAAACCAGGTTTGCCTTCTGCTCCAATTAAGCTCTCCCTTCCTACTCCAAGACCTTTTATCATTAACATGGGATGGGAAGAACAAAGGGAAAGATGGAGGCAGGTAAAGTCAGTATCAGATGACTCTCTGCTAGGCTTGTATTAAGTACCAGTATATGGTTTTTAATATCTCAATGTATTTAATAAATTTTAAGAGCTATTTTGAGAATGCTGGTCAAAAAGCAGAACATAAAACAAATACTACTACACATTAGCTAAATAAATTTAGGATATAGCATTATTCTGGACTATAAAAAATGTGAGACACTAACGAGCATCTATAAAATGTGAGACACTAAAGAGCATCTATAAATTGACTGATGAATGCTAAAGATTGTTATAGCAGATAATATTGAGAAAATTAATGAATAGTGGTTGATACATATGACCTCAAATATTCAAATCGGATCCTTCAGATGGTAAACTTCTGACTTGACATTCCAGTAAAATTTTATACTTATACAAATTAGATAAAAGGTAGACTGTACAAAACTAAACTAATTCAAATTTGTAGCTGCTTATAACTATACTGGATGAGTGCAGATCATGAATGTTATACAACTGCAGCCTAGTCCTCAGCATGTTTATTCATTGGTAACCGCCAGTGTTTCCAGTATGGCTTACTCTCAGATAAGTGTGCATGTGTTAAGTATTGAAGAGTGGATTAAAGTATTTGCATATTCCATTTTATAACAAACACCAAAACAGTATTTAACATGCAAAAAGATTTGCATTGATATTTAGACAGGGAAAAAAGTAACATTAAATATATAATTATTAAAATTCGCTATCTCCCATAACAAACATTGCTATATTTCAATCTGGTGGAACACTCTGTCACAAGAGACCAGGGCCCTGCGGGACTTGACATCTTTCCGCAGGGCCTGCAAGACAGAGCTGTTCCACCAGGCCTTTGGCCAGGGCACAGCCTGACTCCCTCCCTCAGCAATCTTCGCGGAGCTCTGGCCCAATGGTTGCCAGTGGCTTGAATTAATTAATTTTATAATGAATGATTTTAGAGTGTTGTTTATGCTGTACTTTTGTACTGTTTTATTGTTGTTAGCCGCCCTGAGCCCGGCTTCGGCTGGGGAGGGCGGGATATAAATAAAAATTATTATTATTATTATTATTATTATTATTATTATTAATGGGAATTAATATCATATTACTGATTATTGTACATATAACAGGAGAATTAAAAAATGCCTTTCTCAGTCATTTTCACCCGATGCCATTGAACTTCATTCCTATTGTTGGATAGAGTTGCTGTTATTTAAGGTTACCAAGACCAAAACAGAGAGCTGAGGAAGCAGCAACCAGAGAAGGTGGAGAGCTGCTGGGAGGGAAGGAATCAGTGCTCATTAACCTTTCCCTTCTTTATTTTGTTTAGGTGAGATATACCATGAGCCTAGGAAGATCTGGGTAACACTGATGATATCAGAATTAATAAAGATGGTGACAGAAAAAAAAATTGGGTCACATCCCAGACTCGCTATAAAGAAATTGCTGAGAAGTTAAAGAAAGCCTAACATGGAAACCAGCGCATCTTATAAATACACCTGATTTAATAACAACACAGCAGAAATGGCCAGAGATTTATAACAAAATTTATTATAATTACTGTTGTTGACTTCAAGCTTTTTAGTCCAAGGATTTTTTGAGTGTTTGCAAAATGTGAAGTGCCTTTTACAACTGATCATTTATCAGGGAGGGTAACATATTACTAAGGAAAGTTACTTAGGGCAAGAAGTGTATGAGTATAAATACTGACAGCTAAAATATCACTAATGTATGTTCAGGAATCAGAATGTAGTTTTTAATTGTTATAGGTGAACATTATTGAAGACACACAGAAAAATGCATAGGCTACTAAGGAATGTTGAAGTAAATAATTATTCAAGTTCATTATTTCTAACAAACATCATTTGATTTATAGTAAATATTGAAATTATTAATTAAAACAATGTTCATTTAACTGGTATAGTCTAAAATAGGAATAAAGAAACTGAATAGGCTCAATAGACTAACAGTCAGATTAATGTAAGCTGTATTGGCATTTCTGCTCTGGTGGCTCACTCATACAGGTATCAGGACAAGAATATGCAATGAATAAATTTTTCTCATTCTTATCCATCAAACTGGAGCCAAGAAAGATTCCCCCCCCCTCAAGATGTTTGGATTTTTGACCACTTATTTTTCTTTACCCCTGGCTTAACTTCATATGACTCAAGAAAATCAGCAGGCACTTTCTGCAGTACACCTACCCCCTGCCTGTGGCCCATTGTGGCCTGGATTTCACTGCCTGATTTGTGAAAAGCTAGAGAGTAAATGATCCTGCCTTGCAGTAGGAGACTGGATTAGAAGACCCTTTTAAATTCTGGTTTAGGACTTATGGTACTGATGGCCCTGTAAACAATAAGGCAGGCAGACAATACAAAAGAGATTTAATGCGCAAATAAAGACATCATTGTAAACATCTCTCTCAAGATTACACTTACATGATGAACAACATATATGCTGGCTCCAGTGCTGGAACAGATCACGTAAAGAGCACAAAAGCCCAAGTGAGCTTATAGTAAATGAAAATCACATTGTGTGGAATTATGAATGAAAAGCTCACATGAAAGGTAACAATTCATTTCCTTGAACTGCATGCTGAGATATGGACAAAGTCAAGGGAGAAGAATGGCGTACAAGAGATGACAACAAAGAAGGAAAAATACTCTCAAAGCTGACAGGTAAGCAGTATCATACATCTTGCAACATTAACTGGGTTGATAAATATGAGGCCGCAATCACAAATGGAAGAGCAAGTTGGTAGCTAGGCAGGGCTAAGACGATCCAGCAGCGGGGGGGGGGGGGCAAAAGCTGGGTGTAGTATGGAGGGAGCTGGGGGTATAATCTTCTACTGATGATTTCTCAAACAACAAATTATTTACAGAAACAGGCTTCTGTGGTTGAAAACCAAAACTGGTTTTACAAGGAGGAATTGTGATCCCTTTTTTTTTTTTACACTTTTATTTCAGAAGTGCTTGGATATACTGCACTTCTTCCATCAGATTCCTAAATACTCTACCACAACAGACCGTTCAGCACTGTTTGCCAACATCTTCAATCAATTCAAAGAATTAACCTTATGTAGGGTTGGCCGCTTGCTGGTCTGAAAGGCCCAAATCTGAGTTGTAGCAGAGTATACTGATGCTCTATCTTCTAGGATGAAAGTAGTACAGCTTCTATCCTATGTAGTATATAAGAGGGAAGGTAAGAGTCAGACAGCATATACCTGCACACACAGAAACTGTTACAGTCTAGAAGTGGATTTGCGCAAAGGTAGCTCTACCTAAGTGATCAACAAAAAAACCCAGGAAGTTCTAATCTACAAAACAAGATATAAAGGCCACCAAAGCTCCTTAGATAACCAAAATTCATTTTTTTTGTTCTCCTTTGAACTTATGTATGTATCGGCAATTTTATACAGGAAATCCATCAGTGCAGTTTCTCTTTAAATGAATGAGACTTTGTGCCTTACTTCATCATTTTCTAGTTAAAAGCTCAAAGTAAAGGTTAAAAAAACCAAGGGAAAATAAGAGTCAGGACTTCTTGCACTGGATCCAGAAATCCCATGAGCATAGCTTTGCTCACAGAAAATGTGTTCTCTGTCCTGTGGATGGATTGGGGAAGAGGTAATTTTTTTAGTTTCTCCTTTCCCCAGCAACCCCCCAAAAACTTTCCTTGGGGTATTGGGGAAGCATTCGGAAGTGTAGGAGGCAACTATGAGCACTGAAAGAGGAATCTGTCAAAATTATCTCTACCACCTCCATTCAGAAGATCCTCCGCTGGATCCAACCCTTAGTATTAAATTAAGCAGCTCTACCTAAAATGCAAATTCTAATTTACATAAAAGATTTCAATCTCATTCAAAAAAATTCAAGCATGTATCAGCACAACTCATTCTTAATATCTGAAAACAATACAAAAAGATGGCACATTTTTAAAAGGTAAGTAAATATTTGAAAAATTGTAGAGTGGTAATTTCAATTCTTACCTGCTTCACCTGCAGACCATGGCTCCATATCCTTTCCAAGAGATCACAGAGACTAGCTATTAATGTATTCTCTTCTACACCTGTAATGTTCACCTCACCATGACCAAGTTCGACTGCTTCACGACCCATTTTTTCCACTAGCATTCTCTTTGTCTTTTGAGACAGAAAGAGAAATGGACAGTTACTATTTGTCAGATGAAACCACCAGAATATTATATAGCCTTCACATCATGTGAACAACGTGTTAGCTGAGTAAAATACAGTGATTTTAACTATAAAATGTGTTGTTTTAACTAGCATTGATATCTGTTGTGACATACTGCCAGCATTGTTCACTTTTCTGCCTTGTTTTTCTATAGAATCAGACATGGCAAACTTGTTCAGCACAATGGAAAAGTTGCTGACAGCAAGTGAATTTAACTCTATGGTTTGCCTGTGTGTGCAAATCCATAACACCTGTTCTGCAATATTATTTATGTCAGAAATCAGATAATAAGAAAACCAGGAGATTCAAAACACAATGGTCTAGAAGAAATGTGAAGAGAATTATACTTGCTGAACAGGGCTTTCCCGCCCACCCCCTTCCTGCTGAAGCCCTTGTTCCCCCCAAATCCATACATGAGCACCATGGGTCCCACTGGCATGTCATGGGGTGTAGCACAGGTGGTTACAGCCAGAAAAGGCATTTGGAAACATCCCTGCTTGGAAAACAAAAGTGTGTTCTGCGCATACTACAGGCACTCTGTATCCTCCTCTGAGTTCATTATATGATTTATTTCTAATCTGTAGAACATACGTTGCCACTGTCCTGCAAAAAGTACTCTGCAACTATACTTGTCAGAATTTTTTTCTCCCCTAATGGAAAGTTGATAATCCTAAACACATTACCTCTGTGGATGAAAATTACTGCGAGTGCCCCATATTTCTCATCTTTGAATTAGGAAAATACAGTTAAAGATCTCAGGATTCCTGCACCCCACCTAACCCTTGGGTAGAAAATCATAGATTAAACTGGAATAATTCTGGGAGGACATGTCTACATACAATCTAGAATTTCTAATTAACAAAGGTTATACTTTGCACATTTGTGCATGTCTGCTTATGTGAAGTAACTTCAGGTTCAAAGAGAAAAAAAGTTGTGGTATGTTTATGAATTATTAGGAAAACTGCACTCATGATGATGCTGTCTGGGGATTCTCCACTCTGTAGAAATTATCTACTGTTCACGAAAAATTATTTACCTGCCTCCAACCAAAAATAACTGTCCTTTTCCTAGCATGCATTGTTATGTGATACTAGGGAGCTCACAACATGCATGTACTAGAACAGAACTGTGATACAGATATGTTAATATGGGAGAAACAGTCAGTCCAATGCTTCCTGCTCTGTAGTTTAAGATGTTTTCTTTGCTCTCTTTTCTTCAGAGGGATATCTGTTGTCAGATTGGCTGTGCTGTGGCAAGAAGCAACCACTGGAAATCTCCTGTCTCATTGGGCTGGATGACTACTGGCTGCTTGTTCAAATTGTCTCCATAGTTGAAATTTATACATTAATCCATCATAGGAAACCAACAGGGTGAGTTCAAAGGAAAAATAAAAGATTTCCTCTGTCCTGTTCCTCTTCCTATATAGCATTCCATAATTTCTATAGGGGTGGACCAAAGAAGCTCCCCTCCCCACTTTGTGGAGAAGAGGAAGGGCTCTACAGTGGTCTTTGTAGTAGGGATAGTTCTGCCTCTGCTACCAAAGTTGCCAGCACAACCAGCAGCTTCTAAAATGTCACAATTTTAAGCCCTTTTTCATCTCCCCAAAACAGCAAACATCACTGTGTCACCCTCTACCTCTCTGTTTCAGGATTCACCTGAAATGGTGTCCTCAAAAAAGGATAAATGATGAAACAGGGAGAAAGGGGACCACTTTAAGGTTCCTCACCTATTAAGATTATGTTTTAGAAATATTCAATAGTTATCAACAATCTCATCATTACAGCAGCAAATCTCTTTATCTATAAATTATTACAGAAGCAGTTTTCTTCTAGGCTTAAGCAATGTGCCTTTCCATTTCAGTAAATTAATTTACAATGTGTGCTACACCAGACAACTTTAACAATAGGACCTTGGTTGACAATCTGACACAGCAACACATTTTCCTCCAAATGCCCCAGGAAAAATTAAACAATTGAAAATAGACTTTACAGCTGTTCTTGTAATATGGTATAAAATGCTAGAGCTATAGAACAATTATGACAGGAACAGAACATGATACAGTTTCAGCTCATTTTTTCGACAGGTCTTTGCCACTATCAATAAAAGCATCTCATCTTTCTCAGGTAACAACTTTAAAGCAGAGAGAGTGCTGTGTCTCTGTCTTCTCTTACAGATATATTATTTGCCTCTAAGGTTTATCCTTAATCATCTCACACTGCAGACTTTACTTCTTATACCCACTGTTGATATCATTTGACAATTCCAATTTATCAGTCTTGAAAGATGGGCTTAGCTAATAGATGGGCTCAGCTGAAATACAAGCATGATTTCACACACACTGTTCAATCCATCTTCCTCTAGCTGACTAATAGCAGATTACTTAAGGCTAACCCTTGGCACTGTTAAATCAACAGAATTCTTTAAGGTAAGATCTGCTTCAAAACTTCACATAGTTATGGATACATGCAAAACATTTAATACTGATATGTACAAGTACCAGAAAACCAAGGTTAGATGCTCCTCTCTGTTCCTACATAGAACTGTAGAGTTGGAAGGAACCCTAAGGGTCATCTAGTCCAACTCCATGCATGTACAATCATGTACAAAAAATTGCAACATTTATGGGCACCATAAAACAGACTTAAGAAGAATTGCATCAGTTGTGGCTCTGAGACCAAAAAAGAAGAAACCATGACCACAATATGGAGGAAATAGTACATTATCTGAACTGTACTCTTTTTTATGATTAAACTTATGTTTAAAGTTGACTATCCACAAAAATCCTGTGCAAGTGGACTTCCCCATACTTTACACAAGAGGGAGCAATTTTGAGGCACATCCCTTTCTATGCATGAAATTCCTCCCTCCACTGAAGTAAATGGAGGAGCCTTCCATCTCAATATAAAATATCATCAAGGCACCATAAGATTAAGACATAGTCTACTACCTAGCTCCATAGTACTAGCAAAGGCTGCCTCAATAAAGACCAGCACAATACCTTATTTCGACATTCCTTCAGCAAACCTTCAACAAATTTCCAGTTGGTCTGGGCAATTACTGATGGCGAAAGGTTAGACAATTTGGGCTGCCGAATAGTGCTGCCAAGATTCCGAGCTTCTTGGATATACTTCTATAAACAAAGAGGAACATACATATATAGAAATGCACAACTTTTAAAACGCTTAAAGCACTTATATGTGGAAGTATATGTTTTGCTCTTTTGTCAAATAAATATCTAAAAAAATAATGGCATACTGAGTTCTCAAAGGATTAATGCTTTTATTTTATTGTACTGGAGATTAATAACTGGCTATTGTTATTGTTCAAGAAAAAACTGAAGCATTTTATTGCATGAATAGAGAACCATTGCACTGATTACACTATCCAACTATCCAATATATTTTTAATAGCATAATAATAAGATGATCCCAGGTTTATATCAAATAAAATGCATTTGGACTGAACTTTTCAGCCACTGTAAGAGAAATTCTCTTTGGACTCTGAAATACATACTTAACTATGTATTTTTGTTCAGTACCATAACCGAACACCATGTTTTCATATTATATATAACAAGACACACACACACACACACACACACACACACACACACACACAATGTACCTACATAAACACAACATACCAGGTATAGTTCTGAAACAGATTTAAAAGAGTGCCTGAAAGGCCAATCATGCTGGTCCATGTCTAAACAAAATTGCAACTGAAGGTCTGGCAAAGGAAAATCCAGCTGCTGGCAAAACAGGAAAGACAGCAAAACAAAAAACAAAAACAAACCAAAAATCATATAGCTCATGTTAGATGAAAGCATGGTAAGAAGACATGAAATAATGAGAGCATGCATGCAAAAACAGGACAGAAGCTGCTTAAGACAATTTACTGTATGTCTTTCCAAAGTGAGAAAGAATAATGATGTAATGCAATTTATAAATAACAGATATCAACAGAGAAAAGAATAAAATGCATGCATCAACACATAAGGCAAGATTTTTTTAAAAAAAGAAAAAGACAGAAGCTTAGAACTCAGTTTTTACATATTTGGGGTAGCAGAAGACTGTTCTTCAGTGATTATATAACTGTCCCCCCAATTGACATCAATGGCCTATTGATACTTTTGGCTCTATACGAAAAGTTTACAGGATTCCTCTGCATCCTAGGTGTAATACAAATCAAACAATTAGGCAAAGTGGGAGATTAATTACTCTTTGGGTATTGGAAGATGACAACCAAACCTCAGAAAGTCTAGTGGAGAAGTCATTATCAAGGCTAGAGGGAAGGCATGAGAGAGAAAGCAAACAGGGTACAAACCACAACAAAAAACAAACAATATAACCACACTGTAAGGCTGCTTCCCCCAAACATACATGCAAACAACATGGGTCCTCATAGATGTCAAGAAGATGTCCAGCCCACCTTTACTCTATGTCATGGGTGTGAATTGGTAGTTCAGCGGAATGTCACTAATCAGGAAGGGGTAAGGAGTGTGCAATCCAACCCTCACATAAGGCAGGTGAGGGTGTAAATTGATGTGACAGTGTAAATTTACACTTGCCAATACTGAAATGTGGGAAGGAAAGAGGTAAATTTGTGACACACTTCTTCTTCTTCCAGGCAGATTTTGCAAGATAAAGACCCATCCTATGGACTGAGATGAGAAAGCTGGGGTTATGCAACCATCACCAGACGGCCCTGCAGAAATGAAGTTGGCAGTTCATGGAAGGTTTAGGGAACCTTAAAGGGTATAAGTCCACGATGTCTTAGGCTGCTGTGCACAATTGTATTTGGCACAAAACATGGCTTGCCAATGTGGGTGCACATGGACCAGAGAGGCCTTCTTGGCACCCACAAGATCCCATCGCTCTACCCCTTCTCTGATGAAATTATGCTTGCAAGAAGCCTTCTATTGCAACCAATATGAGGCTGTGTTTCAAGGTCAAGTATGTCAGGAGGGCAATTTTGGGGAATTAGAGCCTCCTCTAAGTCTCATTGTTGTGGAGAGTGACCTTCCTGTAGACTGCAGCTGCATTCTCCAGGAAGTTCACACCACCTCCCAACTAGCTTGAAAAAAAGCAAACACATTTTTGAAAGCCTAAATGCTGGTGGGAAGGACAGCAAATATATGTAGCCATGCTTGCAGTGTGTGTGTGTGTGTGTGTGTGTGTGTGTGAGAGAGAGAGAGAGAGAGAGAGAGAGAGAGAGAGAGAGAGATCTACAACAGTTTCTCCTATTTCAAATGTGCCCAAAGGCCCCCAAAGACAGACAACCCCTGGCAAAGAGCTTTATTTTTAGAAGAGGTTACCATTTATATCAGATGAAGAACTGGGCTATGCTTTTTCATGGGGTTGGGAAAAGCGTCTTATACGCTTGATAACCCACGTTATTATTCTGTACAAAATAAAGACATTAGATTGGAAATTGTGCTCAACAGTTTTCACCTCTCTCTGATCATTGTCAAGACGAAGGTGCTCTGTGTGCTGCTTCTGCCTGTCTTTCCGCCTCCACTGTGCAGGTGCATTTCGTTTGGTCCATCTAGAAAATTATAATCAACATTTTAAAAATGTATTCTAGCTCACAAACTGAAATAGGGAATATATATGCGCGTTCTGAACTGCAGTCAATAGGGAGATAGGGTCAAAAGTAGTACAACATACAGTTTAACCAGAAACCTATACTAGGTCGAACCCCACTCAACATATTTTTGTTATTAATGTTTGAAAACTGACTATGATAGTCAAAGTTTATTTGTGGAAGTGGAGATTACAAGAAAAACTGGATGCTTAATTTTTCACTTCTCACTTTTGTTCCCTGATCTAGTATGTAGCTTCAAAACTCAACTCTAAAATGGTTAGCATATCATCTGTAAGTTCATATGTTCATGACAGTCACCATTACATCCAAGTCTCAACTGTTACCTATAACACTACATCTTATAGTTAACACAACCAACTCCCAATTCAAAAGCTGAATGGCCCCCAAATAGTGCAATTTGTTAAGCAGAAGATCTTCCAAACATAGCTTACTCACTTATTGCTTGCTGGCCCCGTAGAAAGAACATCAGACTGCAGTTTGGGGAAGAATCCAGGTTCATATTTTCCTTGTCCAATCTTCATATCTAGCAAGTGGGGATGGACTGCAGTATGATCTATTTTTGCAAGCCTTAATTCAATAGCTTTCTCTGAAGAAAAACAAAACCATTACATATACATCTTAAACCGTATCATTCTGACAAGAGGTCGTCATGCGCGATTAAAAAGGAGAATAAAAGAGGCAAGTAGGAAGACAGCAACCCCAAGTCTATGAAACACAAATTAGAAAGCTACTGTCAGAAATATGTATCCTGTTCAGAGTGCTAAAGGAGTATAAAGAACCCCCTTGAGAGCAAAACATTCATATTTCCATTTGAACCTATCTCTTAAATAGTGTCATTTATTAATAGTATTTTAAAACTACGCATTTCTGAAGATCTTCTTTCTATCTGCTCCTAGCTGAGCATTAACTTGGTTTTACCAGTAGACATAACTATAGTGCCTTTAAAGATAATATTTCAGTGCTTACCAGCCTCATCAATGGTAGTACACTTTTGATACATGGAAGTGCGCAAAGTTGGTGTTCGAACATTTAACAGTCTAATTTTATCCACTCTAGAATCAAACACTCTCAAAATAGGGTCTTTATCATCATCATCATGGCACATAATTTTGTTGTCGATAAAGGAAGCAAACATCTGTGTCTCCAAAAATCTTGAGAGGAAAGGCAAATAAGGTTCTGGCTGGTCAGACAAGAATGATGCCTAGTAAATTGAAAGAAAATGTGTTTGTCTCCCCATGTTAAATGATTTCTGAAGGATATGAAGAATACTTTCAATTATCAACACAATCAAATTATTTTCTATTTTACTATATTTTAAATGTATTGTTTTATTATATATTTTAATATACACTCTGTTTTGAAACAGATATACAGGTAAAAAGGTAAAGGACCCCTGGACAGTTAAGTCCAATCAAAGGCAACTATGCAGTTGCAGCACTCATCTCCCTTTCAGGCCGAGGGAGCTGGCATTTGTCCACAGACAGCTTTCCGGGTCATGTGACCAGCATGACTAAACCGATTCTGGTGCAACAGAACACCGTGCTGGAAACCAGAGTGCACTTAAATGCCATTTGCCATCCCGCTGCAGCGGTATCTATTTATCTACTTGCACTGGTGTGCTTTTGAACTGCTAGGTTGGCAGGAGCTGGGACAGAGCCATGGGAGCTCACCCCGTCACTCAGTGGTTGTCTAATTTGGCCCTTACCAGCTAGAATCATCATAGGCAGACAGCTATGCACAAAGGAAATGTAGTGGGGGAGGGGGCTATCAGTTTATAGCGAAGCGAATAACCTGTGACTAATAAGTCAGTTTACAAAAGTAGTATTTTGTTTCTGATCTATCTTTTTAACAAGATCTGATTCACACCACCCATTAAACATTCCAAGGAATTAAGTCATCATACAGTATCCTTCTCACAATTTACCACATTGATCTTAACAAAATTACAGCTAATTCTGGCTGATATAAAGGGCTACTTTACAAATGAACACTCTTTTGGTGCCTCAATTCCCAGTCCTCTAAACCATGGTTTGTATGACTGCGCCATGATGCTTCATGTGCCCTACTCTCCTTCCCATCATGCATATGGATCCCCTGTCCTCTGCTTTCATGGTGTCCATCTTTATACTCACTTTATCAAAGTTCTGCATCTGCTCTCTATTGGTGAACCATGACTCTTTGTCTTGACTGGGCTGAATTACAAATACTTCATAATCTGCAAACATCTGAGTGAAACGATTAGCAAAAACTTCCCGCACTTGAATATTCAGCTGGTAAATTCTGAACTCTTCTTCATCACATTGCACTTTGAGATCCTTCTTGCTGCTACCAGTCTCTTCTCGAACTTCAAGCTATAAGGAAAAGGAACTTGAAGCTATAATTATTCACATAGAAATTCTGCATTTGACTTATGTGAGGTTAAGCCTGTCAGAGACTAGGGTTATGTCCATGATGAATATTTTTTGGAATTACAAGAGCTGATACAGGATGGTGCTGTGTTTATATTCATGGCAAGAGCGGAACAACAACAGTGCCTTTTTCCTAATGCATTTTAAGTAAATTGTTTTCTAAGTGGAATTGTTTTTACAAACAAGTAAACCAGTTGAATCTGAAAAAAAAATTATTTCAGGTTTAGGGGAAAGGAACAGACCTGTTCACAGTCATTTTTAAAAAATATTGACTAATATCATCTGCCAATAAAATCACAAATTACTTATTATTTGGGGGAATATGTATCCATATCCTGTTACTAAGTGATTTCACAGGATATGGAGCAACCCAGTAATGTCTAAACTCTTTTATAATAGTCAAACTTGGTAAATTGTTTTATACAAACATTCTCTTTGTTCACCAAGGTTTAGAATAATAGATTTGATGCTGCTGTATGTATGTTATGTTTTTACCAATATGACTTTATTTTTGTAACTCCAAAAGGAAAAAAAGAAATAATTGGTTTGTTGGCATAACTAACACCCAGTTTCCAAATACTATTCCATATCAAGCTTCAAGTATATCTTCACCAAAAAAAAAAAAAAAAAAAAGGAAAATCAAGGTGAGGAACATTTATAGCATAGGCATTTCAATATCAAAAGCTTGCCAACATCAAAAGCTTACCATCATGACTGCTGTCATGACTACTAAAAAAAAATGCAAAAAAATTTTCTGACCACACAAACAGAAATCAACCTTAAAGGAGAAGAGTTATGGGATACAATTCAAATACTGTACTGCAATAAGATAATGAAAATGACAAATTAATAAACCAATGGCACAATTTAAGCAATACTCATTAAAGACCTGGTATTAGATCAGTGGTACTAGAGCACCACAAATTAAAACAAACTCATAGGCAGCCAAGCTGCACTACAACTGTGAATGTTGGCAAACATATTTGCTCCATACGTAAAATAAACTCCATACATCTCTGTAGCAGACAAGTCTCTCTCAAAATTACACAGGCATAGTGGCATGCAACAAAACTGGGATTAGAACCAAGTAGTAACGCAGATTCACAGTAAAGTTCCTTAGCAATCCACTATCAGCTGCACAATGTTCTAGTGTGAAGCTTCCATAAGTATTATGAAATTACCTTTTCTAGGCTCACACCTGTTCTTTTAACAAGTGCTTGAAGTCTTGCTATGGTCTCATTTTCTTTCAACAGTTCATATGAATTTAAAGTTGTTCCTCCTAGGTTACCATTTCTCTTATCAGAGACTATGTCACATGTTCTGAGGCTCTTCATCTTGGAGGCACTTTCACTACAGTGCAAGTTTCCCTCGGGTGAAATCCCAAAAGCCATAAGGATCTCAGAGACTTCCTGAATGAATTCAAGTTTATTTGGAAATTGAGGCAAGTCTTCTGGCAATTCAACATAGTGGTTGTCTATGTCCACAAAGCACAAATTTGCCTGAGAATTAAGTCAGGAGAGATATAAGAGAAATCATGAGCATATGTAAAACGTTGACACATATTGCACATGTAAAATGCCTGTGTTGTCATTTTGCAATGTGCAAAGAAATCCTAGGCATCGTAATGTGTAAACACACACTCATTAAAAACTGGAAATGTATATAACAACTTGAGAGAGAATAATTTGAATTAGAAAGTAGGATAACTGCCCAACTGGAAAGGATTAAGGCTGAATTCCTAGGCACACTTTGGAGTAAGTCTTACCAAAATTAGAAGGCCTTATTTCTGATATATTTTCTTGACTCCTTGATACAGTGTCAGATTATTTACAATGCTTGGTCACAGTGGATTAAGAGGAAACACACATATCCTGTTCTTTTCAGCTGTGCTTGAAATGCAGGAAGGAAAGTAATCTGCATTTCCGTAAAGGAAACTTGTAAGACACGTAATAATTGTTTATGCCCTCAACAACAATTCCTTACTGTAGCAAACAATTCAGAGAATTGCAGAGGGCAAACATCTTTGCATTAGACTTAAATATGGTGTCAACATTCCAGTTCCAAAGCCACAACTGATGCTGGACAGCAATACCAGCATCCAGTGCTTTAGAAGAGAACTGAAGGGCATCTAAGCTTGCATACACTATGAAGGCAACAGCCCTGGCCAATTTATTAAGGCCCTTCTTAACACGAATGTCAGCCTAAGGCTTTTTCTTAAGTAAGATCCTGTCCCATAACATGGACACATGTGCTATGAAGGTGGCAGCTGCTGTTGCTCTAATAGCTAGGTGCTGAGGTTTCATAACATGACCTAAGAATTTGCTCCCTTTTTATTGTCTGGATTTCTTAAAAACTCATCCTCATCCACAGGAGCCAGAATCATAGAGGCCAACTCCAACACTGAAGCATCTACAAGAGTCACTTTCATCTTACTCATGAACTGCTGTGGCAATATATAGTGGGTTGAATTTAAAGTAGTGCTAAGGTGATTGCAGGAGAATGTGCATACTGGCAAGAGAATGTACAAAATGCAGTCTATATATGAACACATACCTAAGTCCTTTTGTAGAGAAGGTCTACTAACTGGGCAATATGTATAATTCTTTATGGATAAATTATGTGCACAGTGGTTGGTTGTACTGCTCATTAACCACTCAACTCGCATTACCTGTTATAATTCCCTGGATGAGTTCTGTTCCATTTTTGTTAACATACTTTAAAATTACCATTGAGAAACTATTTCTAGCAAAAGGAATATGGCTAACGGATGCTGCTAAGAAAAGTATGTAGCCAAAAGCATACCTTCATCTTACAATCTCAAGTGTAGGTCATATTAGGAAAAGATTCAATATCCTGAGAATCACATTTAATTTTTTAAGCAATTTCTAAATTTTAAAGTTACAACAATCAATTTGAAAGAATGTCAGCTTTTTTCTTCTTAACTACTCCTTTACCCAATCTACCCCACACCAAATCACACATTGTTCTAGAGAGACTTTTATAGTGGAAGAGCAGGAATAACACTAATTCAAAATTCTCTCCTTTGGAAACAGTTGAGCAAGTAGTGAAGCCTGACTCAATAAAATATCTCACCTCTTGAGGGAGCTCCAGCTTAGACCGGTCATCTAGTCCATTGGAGTGCAAGCCCATCAAATATGGAACAGGAGCATCTAAAAAATGCAGGAGAGAGGCTGGAAGGATGGGAACATAGACATGCTGCCATTGGAATGGAAACATCAGTGCTGTGATTGTCTCTGCCACAGTCATCAGTCTCTGGTAATCTAAAAACAGGAAGTAGTGAAGAAGAGAACACACTTAGAGAGCCACCATGAAAATGCAATCATCAGCACAAACCTTGAGGCTTCATATAAGGAGCACTAAGAAACAAACACAAGGCATTGCACAATACATATTCTAAAAATATCAGTTGCTTAGTCTCTGTGGAAATGAAAGATAAAGTAAAACAGCTTTCTACCAGATATCATGCAGAGAAGTTTTTATTATTATTTTAAAAATAACTTGCACCCAGTAGAAAGGAAAAGGATAAATGAGCCACAGACCAACCTCCCATTCTCCCCAATACATGGGATTGAGGAGAGGGGAAATAGCGCTATATTGAGCCTGCTAAAATCCGACACATATGGCCATTGCATCTTCAGCAGACTCTGTTGCAGCTTGAACTTTTATACTGAACTTTTTCTTCAATATGATATTAAACCGTTGATACACATAGGCAATTTGTTTCCACAGAAAGGTTTTATCACTTGAGGTTAACCAGTTGTAGTATTTACAAAGTCTACATAAATTATCACAGTAAAAAAAATAATTCAAGAACGGTCATTGATTCAGTTCAGATAATCACCAATTGTTAATGTGGCTTAGCTGAGCCAGAAAGGCTATATTTAATTCTCAAGCCTTAAGATATTTTGGGCACTTAACAGCAGAAGGAATCTGAACAAGAGCAGACCATATTTAAACTTTATTTTGAATAGGAACTTTAAAACAATGTGAAGAAAGACAATGAGGGATGGATAGAAGAGGAACTATTGAACCTGCAAAAAAAAGACTTCCAGCTTTTTTATCCAAACTAGTTCGACTTACTATGATTTGATAGCTTACTATATTGAGTGATAGTTGAATAAGTCATACTCAGAGTAGATTCTTTAGGTCAATGGATTTAAGTAACAAGCCATTTATTTCAATGGGTTAACTCAAAGTATGACTAATGTTGTCTAGCAACCATTATTATGATCAACTTGTTTATTAAAAAGGCTGTTTATAAACTTAGTTTGAATGTTTCAGGGAGAAAGAAAAAACAGTCATTTTCTTACCACAAATTTTTGTTCTCAGTCCTCATATTCCTAATCCTCGGGATGGTGCCTCCCTCTGGAGCACTTAGGCCGGGGCATTCTAAATTGCTTCTCCAGGTGAAAGGACTACCCAACTCCCAGACTAGATTGGAAGAGCAAGCAATACAGGAGGAACAAGCAATTCAGGAGATGATGTGGATGGAACACCCTCCAGAGGATTCTGATCAGAAATTCTCAGTAAAAATATATATTTTCCCCCAGAGCCTCCAAAAGAGCATTACTAATTCTTGTGACATACCTGAACAGGGGGGCAGGGAAAATGGCTGAGGACCAAACACTACTATTCCAGCACCTTGTGCAGAATCTTATTGAAGCTCTGAGAAGGAACTTAGCCTGACTAAATGCTTTGTTACACAGACTATGGGTGGAATTCAATGTCCCACTATTGCCAGTTGGCATGATCCTCCCTCTCCTTCCCCCATGCACTGTTCTAGGGGATTTCCCCAAGCCCCTCAAAGTCAACTTTGGGGGGTAGCAAGGGAGGGGGAAAGCCCCGTTGCATGTGGAAAAGTCCTTCTGCAGAACTTCCGCTGAGTTGCTGACAGTGCTGGTTACGTGACTCCTGCCCTTAGTCTGAAAGCTGGGTGGCCTCTCCCCCCCTGGGGAAGCAATTTTCAAAATTAATAATAACAACTTTATTATTTATATGCCACCCATCTGACTGGGTTGCCCCAGCCACTCCGGGTGGCTCCCAGCAAAATATTAAAAATACTAAAACGTCAATCATTGAAAACTTCCCTGAACAGGGCTACCTCCAAATGTCTTATAAAAGTCAAACAGTTGTTTATCTCCTTGACATTTGATAGGAGAGTGTTCCACAGGGAGGGTGCCACTACCGAGAAGGTTCTCTGCCTGGTTCCTAGCTTAATGGCTCGCAGTGAGGGAACCACCAGAAGGTTCTCGGTGCTGGACCTCAGTGTCCAGGTTGGATGATAGGTGTGGAGACACTCTTTCAGGTATATAGGGCCAAGGCCATTTAGGGCTTTAAAGGTCAATACCAGAACGGTCCTGCTTAAGTGATCTAGAGAGAAGCGCCATCCCAAAGATTACAAATGGTCCTCAGGGGTCTCTAGGGCATTTATATACTTTGGAAATGTTTACAGGCATATCCAGAGCAGGTGTTCCATAAACAAAAGGCTGGCAACTGGACTGAGGGTCTTCCTACTCACACAAGTCGGAGGTGATTTTCACCAATTCCCCCATCCCCCTGCTAAGTACCATGTTATCTCCCACACTATGCTAAAGGATTATCCAACATACTTGAACAATTTTTTATTGTAGATATTTATATACCAGAATGCAAGGGGGAAAGAGTTAAAATAACCGTATTATTCTGTGAGCAGGAGGCTGCATGGAGCAGAATATCTGATCACCTGGGACTCCAGGTGGACAGCCATTGTCGCACAGTGTGGCCATGGTGGGTTCAGGAAAGCTGCCATCTTCCAGTGCGGCCGGGGAAGGGGATTGCTGGCACTGCCCACCTCTAGCCATGTCAGGATCCCAGGTAAGGACAGGCAGTGCCCACTCAGCCAATCAGAGGCTGGGGCTTGTGGGCTGCAAGCAGCCCACTCCTAGCCTATTTAAGGGAGTGGCCAGGTGTTGGATGCCCTTTTGGAGGATTGTCGTGGGATTTTTCCACCCAACCACCCAGTCATAAAGGGCCCGCCCAGCTGGGGGGGCAGGGTGTGGACAGACACATTGCCTTGCTATGAACCTTGCTATGGTTTATTCAGTCACCATATTTGGAGTCAGGGAGAAATTTTCTCCTGCAAGCAAATTGGCAGGCTTGTAGGTTTTCACTTACCTCATAGCAACCGTCACAACTTTGGCAGATAAGGCATTGGGCTGCATCCTTAGTCTCAGAGGTACCCCGTTAGAGGGGTCCAGGAGGGGTGATTCTGTCCATGAGTCCATTGTGGGGCCAATGGCTCGATGAAACTCTCCCAGATTGTTTACAGGCATCTAATCAATGTTGGGGGTGACTCCCCAGCACAGGTTTGATCCCACCAGGTTCCTATCAGGTAGCAGGCAAGCTGCCTGATGCAGAATACATACCCAATGCCTCAGCCAAATCTACTCTTTCCTGTAATCAATAAAGTTGTGGCATAATTCAATCCAATACCAGTTTCCTGTGTCAGTTTTGTTGCCCTCCCTTCACCTGCCATGGCCATTATGCACCTGTGGTGGCAACTTTACTCATGGGGTCTCTGGAACCAGCCCAATGACACTTTATTATTTTATAATAAAGCTGCAATCCTATACCGACATACCTGGCAGCAAGTTTCACTGAATTCAGTGGAACTTGCTTCAGTTAAAACAGCCACAGGATTGCACAGTAAGCATTTATTTAATTACTTTTTCAGTTACCTGGTACTGATGCAGAAAATAGTTTTATCTAGCTGGAAAATATCTGCAAGCACAGTATAACTTTCAATAGTATAAAGGTTTTTACAGGTCTGAAGAGAGACAAGAGCATTTTAAGCTTTAGGGTAGCTTTTATCACCAATTATACAGATATATTCAAACAAATATCACCAATTATACAGATAAGGGTTTTTTTTAATTTAAGACAGTCAAAATTTAGAACAAAGCATTCTGCTAGAAATTAATATGAGCCTTATGCTGAGATATCATTAGCATCCTCACTTATCTCATTAGCAGCCTCACCAATGACATCCAACTTTAATCCTGACTATGCTTAATCTAACCAACCTCACCTCCTTAAACTCATTTGCACTGACTACCTACTCCAGTCTTGAAGGCAATAATTAAAAGAAATCAAGAAAGATCACACTCAAGGTATTTGTTTCATTGAGGAGACTTGTGAAAATTTTACTGTGTTTGATGTTTTAATTTGTTGGAAGCAGCCCAGGGTGGCTGGGGCAACCCAATCAGATGGATGACCTATAAATCATCATCTTTTTCAATGAAATGCAGACCCATTTTACAAGATCACCAGATTTTTTTATTTCATAATTTTAATGATCACCAAGGTATACTCAGACTACATCACTAAGCCAGGAGCAGAGAATTGGATTCAGCTGGCAAGCCCAATCCTTACTGAATCCTTATTGAAAAACTGGACAGAGACAACATCCATGTGGAGCTCCACTCATGGAAGATGCCTCCCCTTGATTTTTAGGGATACCCCATATTGTCTAAGCTCTTATGCTATAGCATGCTTCCATTCAGCAGTGCTTTCCAACCCTCAGTGAAGCATTTTGAAGGGCAGGGAGACCTGCCCTGGGGAGCAGGAGTAGGAGAGACAGCTTCTGCCAGCCCTGCTATGCGTACTTTACTGTGGACCCAATGCATCAGGAACAGGTGTATCTTTACCACATTGACCATCATTTATAATATAAAAAGCTATACTCACGCTGTGAATAAAGCAATATCTGAAATTCCAAAAGAGCACAGGTGAAGAGCTGAACCATATTCTCTACTCCAAGTAACTCAAAAACTTCTTTAACTGGAAAGTCAAATAATGGCAATTCACTGGTGCTTGGCCTCTGGCAGATAATTGGTCCATAAACTCCTGAAAATTTTAGTGATCTCCCTGCAGGTGGTAGGGGAACTTCATAGAGTATATTGTAGATAAAGCTTTCCAAAGGTAATGGTGGTGGTTGAGGTGAAGTTACAGCTTGGTGAAGTTGCTCAAGCACTCTCCTACACGCCTTCATGAAAGACATTGGGGTTATCAGACAAATGCACTTAGAGACATAAAGAGTGTCTCTGCTAATATCATAGGAGTTAAATCGTTGTAGCTTTGTTACAGAGGTGCCATTACAGTGTTCTATGGTGCTACAGATATCTTTGTCATTGGTAGGTGGAGTTTGAAGAATATCATATTCCGCATTGTGCATGTGATATAATGTCTGCATTGCGCTACAGATTTGTTTGCTGGTAACTTCCTCATAAAATGTGAGAGAAAACCCAAATGTCCGAGAGCCATCTTCACGGGTAATGATAAAAGAATGGAATTGAGGTTCTCTGGCATCAGCTTGTGTCTTGAAAGACAGACCCTTAGGCATACATAGCTGTGGGAGAAATGAAGAAATAGAAATGTTTATTTTTATTCATCCAGGTATTTTATTAGATGAAAACACACAATAAAAAAATTGTGTTTTTATGCTGCTTTTATTTTGTATTGCATTTTAGTTTTTTGTGAGCTGCTCAGAGGCCAGCTACTATTGGGTTGCTATACTGACAGTGGTGCCTATGACACTGGTAGCTAAGCTATCTCCCCTGCACCTGTCTTATTGAAAATATATTTACTTGGGTAGATGTCATGAGTTACTCAGTGCCTTCAGGTACAAACCTGGGAGAGCAGACTCTAGAGGAAGATGAAGAGGCAGATGAGGAGGACTAGGGAGGAGTCCCAGCTGCTGCTTCCCTCCCTGTGAGGGCACACTGTTGGAGGCTAGGAAAACTTCAGAGCTGCAGCCTGGGGTGGCTGAACAGAATTCCAAGAAGGAGGGTTTAGTATTGTCTTTCAAGGCCAAACAATGGATCCCCCAATGGGAACAGACACTCCCATACCAACAGTTTATGCGCCTGCAGTCTAGACATTCTCAAAGGACTAATTTTCACAAGTAATGCATGTGCTCTCCTTTGGCTATAAAGCTTGGGTTGGGGGCACATGGGTTGGGACAACTTTGCTGCTCTTGTATGGTTTTGAACACCGTGCCCTGAATCTTGGACTTTGGAATTATGGCTTTGCTTCCAGCTCAGTTAACTCCTCCACCCTGTTTGTAGAAGCTCTGTTTGAGTTAGCTTTTATCTGTTGCTGCACCTATATTGTACTCTGCTTTAATTAACATTCTTTTTTCACTCTCAGATTGCCTCTGTTATCATGTCTGGAGCGGGAGCTAGGACAGTAGGAGAGAGGGTCAAAAGAACATATAGAAGTAGACATCATGGGTAAGAGGACAGGAAACAATATGCCTTCATGATATAGGCTTAGGAAACAATATACCTATGTGATATATGTCCCTTCTTAATCTCTCTGTGAATTCATGTGCATGTGTAAGTGTGTCTCCCAATCAGCCACGTTGTAGGTCAGTCTTCCCAAGCCTAGTGTTGTCCAGATGTTGCTGGACTCCAACTCACGTCATCCCTATTCACTGGCCATGCTAGCTGGAGCTCATGGGAGCTGGAACTGAATAACACCTGATAGGCTCCATACTGAGAATGGCTATTCTAGGCTATGCTGAAGTTGGAATAAAAGTTGCTCTTAGTTAAGTCTTCATACTTTGGCCTGATTTCTGAATGAGAACAAACTTTCTAGAAGCTAATCTACATAAATGTATGCATCCTGGTCCAACATACAAATATGAATATTATAGCACCAGACCATTAGTGCAAGTGCAACAATGAAAATTAAGAACCAACCATTCCCACTGCATCCTGATCAAAAGGATTCCATTCAACATTTTCTGGATAACGAGCAAGAACTTTGGACTTGAATGTGCGTCTTAATGGAGTTTGTTCAAAGTTTTCACCTGAAAAATGAATATGAGAATCAAAATAGTTTCACTTCAAGGGTTTTTTTTTTGTGTAGATGCCAGAAAGCACACTGAGTAATAAAAGGAACAGGTTCGAATAGTTCCTTAAAGAGAAACAGGAAATGGAAAGTAGTGGTTAGCAAGAAAGTAAGCAAAATGAGGTTATAATATTGGTTGTATCTTACATACAATTAACTATGTGTGCCTTTTCTTAAATAGGTTCAGTCCAAATTATTTCATTTGCTTCATTTATTTCAAAAGTTAATCATGAGCATGTTTATTTGTTCACCAAAACCAAACCCCATTTTAAAAGTAATCCAGGAAATGCACACATAGGTAACAGATGCTAAAGTTAAGCAAAATTTAGTGCATACAAGATCAATGTTAATAGCTTTGTTATGTATTTATACCTAGAATCCATCATCTGTTAGAGAAATCAGCTGAGAAGGGAAAGCTAGAAGGCACAAAATGGTCAAGGGACAGAAATACTAGAAGAGAAATATCTGTATGAAAAAGTTTTGATCAGTTTTCCCTGTGTTTTTGTTTTACCTTCTGCTGAACTTGAAATGAAACGGCTACCACCATCTTGGGCTTTAGAGGCCTGTATATACTGGCATAATGCTATATAACAAATAAAAAGAACACTGTATTATGATTAAGTAAGTGTTAACTCTTATTATAACTATAAATCTCCTTCAAAAATAATTTCACTCAACAGGTCTATCTCCATATTTTCCAAATGCATTCAGGATATCAAACAAGCGTTACATTAAAAATCCCTTTTCAAACTGGATAGCAACAGACCTCTGGGCAGCAAACGAGAAACATCAAGGCCAGTCACCTAAATAAACATTCATATTTAGTAAAAGGAACAGGTTCAAATAGTTCCTTTAAGAGAAACAGGAATTGAAATTGGTTAGTTGATATGGATATACTGTTTTTGGAGGAACTGTGATGGTTTTGTGCTCAAAGTATAATTTCAAACAAGAAAAGGCACATGCCAGCTTCTTGTGGGGTCATCTTCTTGGTAGAGCTTTCCCATTCTACAGATAAGGCACTCTTCTCAAATCAGGATCCTGGCTAATTCACATGGATGTGCACTCAAGCGGATAAATTTTTAGCATTAGAAATTGCAGTGGAGCTATTATCATGGCTGCCCTGGCTTAGCTAGGCTAGGCTTGAAGTGACCAAGAATGTAAAGTATGATGAACAATAGAAGTAAGAGAAACAGGGTCAAGAGTGCTTAACCATTAAGTTCTCACCATGGTGACTAGCCATGACTGGGGCTACCTAGATCTAGGAAGCTTATGTAGAGCTTCCAAGCAATAAAGCAACACTAACAACAAAAAAAGATATTTAAAGCAACAGGAATGTTGATAAGGTTTATTCCTAGGCCAAATGGCTAAAGTGTCTGCCCACAAACTTGAAGGACTGAGTGACTACCAGTGATTTCACAACACAGTCCTACGCATTGGTACTCAGAAAAAGCACCATTGAGTTCAATGGGACTTCCCACCCCACCCCCGCATGAGAATGTATAGGATTGCTGCCTTAGGCAAATGTAGTTTAATATTGAGTAAACTGTGCTTCTTTCTACTGGAGACATATGAATACCCTGCCAAAAAAAGAACCTCAAAGAACATATTGCTGTTAATTATTTTGGTATAACTATACTTTGTATTCAGGTGACAAATAGACAACTTTCATTAAATTTATTAAATAATTATAGAATTCAAGATGAGGCTCCTTTTAAAAGTTGCCATTCCATGCAAAAATAATGTAAGTCAAAAGATGAATAACTTGCATGTATACTACTAATGCTCTGAACACCGAGAATTTTACTGTGCTAAAGGTCAAACAAAATGGTCAAAATTGCTATGCTACATCATACCACAAGCCTATTAAAGCTACATTCTCTACTTCCAGGCCCCTCCGGGCCTCTGAACTCTACCAAGGTGACATCGTCTCTTGCCGATGCAATCCCCCTCATTGGCTCTGCTTTGCACTCCAAGTACTTTTACCTGGCTAGAATGCTTCCTTGAACTGAAAGCCTCTTGCTTCCTTGGATGAAAGACAGAGAGTGGTCAGAGAGTGGTGTGAGAGTGTAGAAATTAGCCTACTGTATAAAGGTACAATTTACATTTGTTGCCTCATCCACATTTGCATCTGACCTTGCTTACCACTGGCATGGCCCTCAAGAGGTTGTCCAGAAGAGAACACAGCCCTTGGTCTAGAAAGGATTCCTCACTCATGCTCAAAACTTCTATATTGTTTTGAGCAATCATTGGTTGCTTCCAGCATCTGATGAAAGGTATACTGCTGTGCAATGAAGATTTCAAATTCAAAATAGCAGCCTCAAATGCCATTTGAGAATCTTAATCAAGTAGTTTACTACAAAGTATTTAATAAACCTAAGGACTATGAGCAATGGTCTAATGGCTTTTAATGGCAGTACTTCTCTCACTATACTTCATACAGATATAAATGCTTTCTAAATAAAGAAGGGGGTTTTTTTACTCCAAAAATAAACCTTCATCAAATGAATAGGAAAATAAGCATGTAGATGGTGACAGCTGCTATAACAATAAACCAAAATTACATGAATTAACATGATTCAAATAAACACAAAGCTTTCATCACCACCTGCAAAATGAGATGGGGGAAGCCATTTCAATACTTCATTTATTCTCAAATACACAGTAATTAAATGGCAAAAGAAGCTGATTTCACTGTGTTCTACTCATCAATGGAAAATGATTCCAGATTATACTTTAGTGTTTACTCTTTAGGGCATACTCATTCTACAAAAAATGTTGTCAACATTGGACTTGAGATTCATGACAATACAGAACATGCACAGTGAGGTCTATTTTATAAAATGTTTGGAAAAGTAAAAGGTTTAGAGATGAAATGTGTAACCCCCTATACACCACAAAGATTCCTGAAAGAAGGATGAAATACAAATGTGTTACATTCCATCTTGCAGCCTCAACTAGGCACACCAGGTAGCTCACATATAGGAATAATGCTGGGCTTACCTGTTGGATATTATCTCTGTGTGAGAGAGAATAATTTGTTCCAGAAACAGAGAAGAACAGAGAAAAAGTTTCAAGAAACAGCAGAAGGCTGAGATTGTTTTGTCTATGCAAGGATGTTTTCTGTGGAAACTGTTCTTTAGCCATGCACAGTGTTACAAGAAGTTCTGACAACAAGAGTTCTGTGTATCTTGTTGTGAGTCTCTTGCTTGCGTGTTGCGGTGAGAGTAGCAGAGAGAGTGTCTTGGACTCTTGTTGGACTCTAAGCATGCCTTGACCACAGCAGTGGTGAATGTCTTTATGTATCATTATGGTTTTATGCCTATCAAGTAAACTTCTATACTTCACTGAATCTGTACCTTCAACCCCAAAGACACTTCCAAGGAAGGAGCTGCGTTGAGATGTAATGCTGCGTAGTATGGATACTGGAACACACGCACAGCAAAAGTGTTGCCGTACCCAGTCCTTCTAAATGATCCATCAGAAGTTGATGGATTGATCCAATGTTACCAATGCCAACTATCGGGGGTGAGAGGAATAACAGAATAATGCAGAGCAGTTCCTAGAAGAGCCTACCCTATTGCACTGAGCTAACTTGGTTTTGAATGATTCTTTTTTAAGGAGGGGAGAAGTAACAGGAATCTTATTTGCTTGTTTGTTGCCTGCCAGCCATGAGTGCTAGTAGTGGGCACTTGCTTCACCTAATAAAGGGGCTCTACAGGTTGCATCCAGCACTGCAGCTCCACTGTCACAATGGACTTCCATGCGTGTAATGGAACTTCCTCTCAAATCTCCTTCAGCCCCCTTTGCAGCCTCAAAATTATCTCCAGAGCACTGTAAGATGCTGTGAGAAAGAGGTGTATGTGTGGCTATGTATATGTGAAATGCCAGAGAAAGAACTTGTGTGTGTGTGTGGTGGCAACTTTGAATATTTTTCCTGGTAACCCTGTTTTTACTAGACAACAGTATCATTGTGTAGGGGGGAATCAATATTGTGTGATATCCACAATCAAGAACAGCAGCACGTAGCTGACACCCCATGGTAAGCATCTGGTGGCAGCAGGTGCTGTGAGGACTATTAAGGGAAGTTTGGACTCAGCAGACCAGCCAAATTATTTACAGTGGTATCTCGGGTTACATATGCTACAGGTTACAGACTCCGCTAACCCAGAAATAGTACCTCGGGTTAAGAACTATGCTTCAGGATGAAAACAGAAATCGTGCTCTGGTGGCACGGCAGCAGCGGGAGGCCCCAATAGCTAAAGTGGTGCTTCAGGTTAAGAACGGACCTCCGGAACGAATTAAGTTCTTAACCCGAGGTACCACTGTACTTTGTAAGGAACCCATGGAAATCACACTCACCTATCTTTTTTGTAGGTCTGCAAACCTTAGGGCTCCCCTAAGGCTTTCAATACCTCCCTCTTACATATAGATACTGCTGTTTTAACTACATTTAGACACATACCCAGAGAATTGAGTTTTATTAGTACATTGTTTAATATCCAATGTTAAACTTACACCATAATAGCAATCTACTTCAAATAAATAAAATAAAAAGGGCAGATAATTAAAGTGACAGAAGCATTCAGAGAGCCAAAACATCTGTTTGGCCATGGTAAACTTACTCTTACACCTAACTTGTGTAAGATTTGGATTTGCATAAAAAGTCTCAAGCCCAGCTAGTTAGAACAATGCCTGAAGGACGATTTGAGAGGAAATGTATCAGTTCCCCTTTTGCTCACTAATGCACTAACAGCACATTTTTACAAAAATGCAGTTATAAACACATGAAGATGCAATAAAAGTTGCTAGCTCACACAACAATAACCTTAAATAAGCATGATATTTATCTATTCACTGAGTCCCAATAAATTCAATCTGCGTTAAAAAGAAATATATCATCCAACCTTCTGTCATCTAATTGTTTCTGTATTAAGCTATCCATAAAGCAGACAATTATTGATCCAAGTTAGTCTTTCAGTATACAGCTGATTAAGTCTTGTTTTCAAAATCAAACTGGTAGCAACATTGAACTAAAAAGCCAAGCTTGGGTTTCCCAACACACAGTATAAATACTAGAAACCTGATCAGCAATATTTATGCAGTTTCTGCCTATCAAAAACATTCTTCTCTCCCACACACAAAAAGTTTCAAGAGTGACCAATTACTTCTTAACCCCATTACTGAATGAGATTATACCAATTAACAAGACAAGCTAATTTGTTAGTGACCTTGTCATTAGCAGCAAGTTTTAGGCAGGCAGCCAAGAGAGAAATAACAGGAAGCCCTGCTCTACTTCTTTATGCTTGTACCTTGCTCTGCTACTAATGACAGCTTCTTTGGTTCCTGGAGAATGTGGTTAACCTGAACAAGGTATCAAACTAGATGTTCTGGACATCCGATACCATCTTGAGGACTCTTCACTGCTGGGCAGAGCGGGGGGTAACTGCACGCAGAAGACAAGAGTGTAGGGTGGGAAGGTGGAGAAAACTGGGAGGTTGTCTGACGCTAGAGGGGAGGGTGAAGTACACCTAAAAATAACTTACTACTGCCACCCATCTATGATGACATTCATGAGTCTTACAA